TGACAACGTTTTACAGGCACGGTGCCTGTAAAGCTGCCACGGTAACGCTTTACAGGCAGGGTGCGTGTAAAGGCTAATTTACCCAGTTAGTTCAGACGACAGTAAACGAGCTTTAACAAGACAAGAGGAAGTAAAATAAATATTCGAGTGCTATATAATAAATGTTCTATTCTTTCTGCTTGCCCACTCCTTGCCATGGTTCCCTTACCTTCCATACTTCTTTCATCCAGTCCAGTTCTCTTCCATCCTCGTTTAGCACTTCTTCCCTACTTTCCTCCGATTCTCTCAATCCTTCACATCCTTCCAGCATATGCTCTATTGTTTCTCCTTCTCTCCAACATATCCTACACCTTCTGTCAGTTCCATCCATACAAAAATTATTCTCTTTCTCTTCATTTCCACACCTAAATCTCGCCATCATTCTTTTCTCCTTTATACTCTCTCTCTGTGTGTACTTTGGTACTTCATCCTTTACTATTTTTCTATAGTCTGCATTACATCTAGACTCCGATATTCTAGATCTACTTTCTTGCTTAGCTATTTATATCCTTATTTCTTACACTCAGTTCTTCTTTCATACCCGCTTCCACTCTCATTCTCTCCCTTTAAGTTTCTTCTCTCACTATATACCCCGGCGTATGCTTTTCAAATCCCAATGTCCATTTTAAGTATTTTTCTTGCACTCTCTCTATTCCTTCATATTCCCTCCATCCCCAAATCTCAGCTCCGTACAAAAATACACTTTTGATCAAACTATCAAACATCATCATTCTTCTCTTATAATCATGTCCAAATTTTCTCTCTCCTATTCCCCATACTATTCCTATCACTTTGTTCGCTTTTTGGACCATTTCTTGAATATGCGCTCTATCTGAGATATTGCTCTTTAATGTATATCCTAAGTACTGGAATTCTTTCACCTGTTCAATGTTCTTCCCTCTCGATGCCCACTCTTCCTTCTCCTTTCTTACTTTCTTCCCAAACACCACCATTTTTGTTTTTTTCACATTCACTTCAAATTCCTTTTTTTTTTACATACTTCTCCAAACTTTTAATCAATGCTTTCATTTCTTCTCTTTTCTTTGCCACAATCACCAAATTATCTGCGTACGCCAACGAACACACTTTCTCTTTGCCCACTACCATCCCTCCTGTCTGTGCTTTACTGAACATTTCATCTATATCTCCTAGATAAGCTGCAAACAATGCGGGGCTGAGTGGCCATCCTTGTCGCACTCCTCTATTTGTATAAAAACTCTCGCTCTCTATTCCATTCACTCTCACCGTATTTACTGTTTCTTCATATATTTCTTCCATTTTTGTTACCAAGTATGCGTCTACTCCCTTTCTCCTCAAATACTCCCACATTTTCTCTCTATTCACGCTATCAAACGCTGCTTTGAAACCTATGAACAATGCGTACATTCGTCCACCCTCTTTCCTTATTTCTCTTCCCACTAAATCCCGCAGGATGTACACATTGTCCATAGTACCTCTTCCTTTCCTAAACCCTGCCTGACCGTCTGGTAACATACCCCTTGCTTCCATCTCCTTTCGTAACCTCTCATCTAGTATCATTGCATATATCTTGTACGCCGTATTGAGCAAGGTAATCCCTCGGTAGTTCTTCAGATCACTTTTTTGCCCCTTTTTAAATAATGGGATTATTATACCTTCTCTCCACTGCCGAGGAAACCCTTTTCCCTTCCAAATTCCATTTACCACTTCCCATATCTTTCCTTTCACTCCTTCTGTATTCCTTCCCCTCCTGGTGCCTTTCCTCTTTTCAGTCTTTCAATCTTTCCTCCTATTTCATCTTTTGTTATTTCCGAACCTATCCACATTTCTTCCGTCGTTGTGATTCCTTTATTTATTTTGCAGCATTTTTCCTCACAATCTCCCAATAATTCCATAAAGTGTGTTTTCCATTCATGTATTTCGATTTTCCCGCTGATTTCAGTCTTCCTTCTCCGTTCCTTGTTTATATATCTCCATACTTGCTCTTCTGTTTTCAGGGACTTTATTGTCTTCTCTTCTTCTTCTCGTTTTTCTCTTTTTCTTTCTTCCCATTTTCTCCTATAATTCTCTCTTGCTTTTAGGTACTCTTTTTTCCTCCCTTGTTATTCTTCCATTTTCTTAATTTTTCCCTTGCTTTTCTCTTCAACTCACTCCATCTCCGTTCCATCCATTATTCCTCCCTTGCCATATATATATCTTTCTTTTTTTCCGTAGCTTCTATGATTAGGTTGCTCAGTTCCGCCATCATAGCTTCTATACCTTCTGTTACTTCGAATTTCTTTTTTTCTAGTCTACTTCTGTATCTTTGAATTTCCTCTTCATCCCATATTCTTTTTTCTAATTCTTTTCTTTCGTTTCTTCTCTCTTGTTTTTCGTACTCTTGCTCTTTTGCTTTGATTTTTATTTCTAGTGGCATGTGGTCTGATTCTACCCTTTCCCCCACTTTGAAACTCTCTATTTCTTCCCACGCCTCTTCGTTGACAATCCCATAGTCTATAATTGATTCTCCCCTAGCCCCTACGTACGTCCATTCTCCTTCTTCATCTCCTTCCTTGTTTCCATTCAAAATTTCCCATCCCATTCCTTCTATTATCTCCACAATATTTTCCCTTCTTTGTTATTTGCTTTATCTTTTGATCCTCTTTTCTCTCGCTTTTCTTTATCTATTATTCTTGTCCCCTTATCGCCCAATCTTGCGTTAAAATAAAAAAAGTATTTTTTCATCTCCTTTTTCTTTTGTTTCCTTTTCTATGTTTGTCTTGATTTCCTCCATTTTCTTGTTATAAACGGTTATTATTTCCCGTCGATTGTTATCCAGCTGTATTACTTTTTTCATTAGTCCGTTTTTGTTATTACTTCCCTTTTCCAATTCTTGCATTTCTTTTCGAATTCCCATTACTATTCCCCCGCTTGCTCTCCCCTTTTTCTATTCCTTTGTCGCCCCTTGACACTCCCACACATATTCTTGTGGTAGTGCCTCTCCCAATTTCTCCCAGTTTTCTCTTTGTACCCAAGTCTCTACTAGCCCCACAACATCAAATTTTCCCACGTAGTCCCAGAACTCCTTTTCCTTTTTTCGCAACCCTTGGACATTCCAAAACAGTACCTTCACCCCGTTTTCTCCTAATTTTGTACCAGCTTCCCTTTTTCCGATTTCCCTATCTGCATCCTTTATTCCTTTTCCTTTGCCTTGTTTGCTTCCATTTTTCCTCGTTTTCTTCCTTCTCTTTTGGCTCTTTACTAAAAATTTTCTGCCTTCTTAAGTCTGCCCTCTTTTTCATTCCATTCAAAATTTCTGCCGTCTTCAGTTAACTTTTTATATCCCATTCTAACCATTTTCCCTTTATTTCTCTCTTTTGTTGCCTCTTCTTTCTTGTTTTGAATGTTTCTTTCCGTTTTCGTCAGATTATCATTTACGTAAACTGACGACCCTTTTAAGTTCTTCTTGCTTTTCATTACATTTATTTTTTCTTCTCTGTTTTCGAATGCCAATACATAAAATTTTCTCTGCAATTTTGTACGCGCTTTTAACTTTACTCTCTACTTTGACTTTCTCTTCTAAAAATTTTGTCACTTTTCCAATTATCTGCTTCTGCTCTCCTGTTTCTATGTCCAATCCCATCATCACTACTTTATTTCTTCTCTTTTCTCTCTCCATTCGATCTTGTTCACTTTCTACTTCACCCACTCTTTCCCATTTCTTCATACTTATCTCTAATTTCTTGATTTTGCTCCTGTAGTTGATCTCTTGCTTGCTTTAATTCTTCTCTTTTTGTTTTAAGCTCCTCTTTAAGCTGTGTATTCCATTCGTTCAATAATTGTTTATTACTTTCTCTCATATCATCTCTGATTTGTGTCGCAAGTTCGCTGATCATTTTTTTGACGTCCTCCATCTCTATATCTCCTTGATTTTCCTTCTCTCTCGATTGCAGAGGTGATCTTACTGTTATTTTGCTTCTTTGGAAGACCTGCTCGTTCTCTTGCGGCGACTCTACTTCTCTATCCCTTTTCTTTCTTTCTGTCCCTTTACTACTCATTACCTCTTTGTCTTTGACTTCCTTCACGGCGGAAGGATATAACCCAGATCGTCTTTTCGGAGGTTATTCTCCTATCTAGTGACCATTAATAACCATATATTCTTAAATTAAAAATAAAATTATTCTAAGCACGCTTTTGGCATACATATCTATAAAATTTTGTGCCCTATTAGTGTCTTATAAATTAAAATTGTATACAAATTACGTGATACGTGAAATTTGTAGTTTTACAACCCTGTAGACCATACAGCTTCAATTAAAACATGAAGAGCTGTAAAATTCATAAGTAGGTAATTCCCGAAATTCATTTAATTTAGAGATAACATAATATTGTTAAATTATTTTTATTATTTCCGTACTTGACAGATACCTTATCTAAATCAATGCGAACCTAAAACAAATACTGCAGATTTTTACAAAAGGAACAAGTTTATTACGTAATAAGATACTCTAATTTTTTAACAAATTTACTTATACGAGGAAACCACGTTTTATATATAGCGCTGAAAAATGAACTGCTACTGGAAGATTAAAAACTGAAAAATTTAATGATAAAAAAAAAGAAATAAAAGTGATTGCGTTCGAATTCAACTCAAGGAAACACAAGCACTACTTAAGGTCAATCTGTAAACTTGACCTTCAAGCTTTTATGTAAAGATAACTTATACTTTTCGTTGCTGCTGACAGAGGGCGTAGATTTTTTAAGTTTCAGACTGTGGCGACTTCCCCTTATGCACAAATAACAGAAACATATACCAAATAATTTGGCGCCAAAATTCGATATAGGTTATGTGACTAAGGAAAACTTTTCCACAAATAACTTTTTTTAATATTATAGGTTTCATCCATCACCAGCTATAAGAACCTGTCACTTATCCACGTAGTTAAAATTCAGCACATTATTATCTAAAACATTGTTTCATTATCTGCGATACGATATGTATTTATAGATTAAACAAAAAATAATGAACTTATAAACATTTTGAAGAGCATTTTTAATAACATGCAGAAGGCTGCAGGCACAGAAAACAGTACTATAAAGAAATTTGCTGCAGTTTTGGGAATAGTAAGTAATCTTATAACTACATACTACATTCAATTTTAGTAATTTTTTATAGTTTCAGGGGGTATCATGGATGATCATATCCATACTCTGCATTGTTTTCTACATCAAAGAAGTGGAGAATATTTCAATACACACTTACATGGAAAAGGTCGTAGTGAACATCTACACATCTTTCTTGATAAGTAATATACTTAATTTACTTAAATTACTTAAGTAACACTTGTTTTAAAAGATGATGGGAAATACACCGATGGACAAATCATAAATGCTAGAATTTTTGCTGGTTTCATGTGGACATACTTATTTTTGGATCTCATATGGGTTTTGGTATCGTTTTATGGTAAGCTACCCAATCAAAATACACAGAATATCAATCAAAACTGTTAGTTTAGTTCTAGGCAAGAAACAAAAGAGAGAAAAACTTGCTCTACGTCTGTGGAGTCTAGCGACATCTGTGATCTGTCTTCTAGATCTAATTCTATCCATCTTGCTTGGTATTGACTACCAAAACTGTTTCAACGATGCCTCTAGAGTTGTATTTGCTGAATTAGCATCTGAACAAGTTTGTGCTAATATAATTCTTCCCGTTCTGATAATAGCGGCCAAAGGATTTACCTTGTGGATAGTAAACGTCATTTTTGCTTTTATTTTGTTCAGAATATCAACACAGCTCCCTGATAAACAACAAGATTCGGCATCGTAAGACTTAACATTAATGTTTTGAGTTAAAACAGCGTTCAAATTTTAGAAAAAAAATGCAGTCCCTTTTTATTCCATCGTCTCAGTTCTATAGTGAAGGAGAATATTCTTCAAGTCTTCAGATCCTACAAGCATACAACGAGTTTCCAGTCATACAAAGGCGAAGTCAGCTTGAAGAACCTTGTGTGCTGAGAAGTCCACTGAAGCTTTTCTAAAAGCTTGTATAAAACCTGTAATTTTCGAAAATACATAACTTTTTGATGGTTCAGTAGTTTATGGTTGTTTCCGACAATTAATACAACTGTTTATTAGATTGAAGGAAATTATCACATTAGTTTCTGTTCTATATTTTTGCCACTAGATGTCACCCACTCTGTGAATTTCTTGAAGACAAAAATAATTTTTCAACGACAATATGAGTGAACTATGATCACTATCAAAAAAATTACATACTAGAACTTCTTAATTTGATAAATACAAATTTTGTATTAAAAAAATTCGCCCACGATGTTTGTAAATGAACACCTTGTAATCGCATAATATCTTCGAAAACTTTGACCATGAATCTGATAAAAACATCTATTTAATTGAACAATATGACTCAAACAGTATCTACTTTCTAATTACTGTTTTCAAGGTACAGATTTGAGATAACGTTAAGATTTAACAGATTGTCGATAATTAATTTCTAATAAACAACAAAATAAGATCTTTTTAATCGGATCATCAGTGTTTAAATTGTTGGATAAAATTTAAGGACGCATTTTTTAAGAGGTACTTTTCTATGAACTCACGCATAGTAAAATTTACGCAGTTAATTTATCGAGCCACGTCATAGTTTAGATTAGAAAAAAATTACAACAACTAAAAATAGAAACAGAAATAATTATACTCATTTAAAATTTACTATACACATTTAAAATTTACTATACACAAGCTCCAATTTTGTAGCAATTTTCGTCAGATTTCTGTGAATTCGTCAAAAAATAACTGCGAACACTATCAATCGAAGCAAGGAATTTTAAGACAAAATTAGTACGACTAAATTACCAAAATATCAAACTGGGCACACAGTGTTAAACAGAATTGTGATCTTCATTTTTTTTCTTGGTACTCAATCAAAAAATTCGCAAAATTTTATCCTCAACATAATTTTACCAGTACGTCACCTACTTCTAGTTATCTCTACACATTTGTTGCTCATTACGCTTCTGATAGCATTCATTATATTATCAGTTCAAACATCATCTACAACAATTTACAACATTGCCTTAGTGAAATGGAGTTCCTGTCCACCACGCAAAGAAATTTCAAAACGTTTGCCGGAATTTTGGGATGTGTAAGTCATAATTTTGTGTTTAAACTCTCGACTAAAGTTTTCGTGTTTAAGCTCCAAGGTTTAACATGGGTAGTGTTGTCAATCATCTATCTAATTATTTACAACCAGGATAATTGGGACAGTATTGTCGACTATGTTTCTTACATGGGCGAGGTTCAGTACTTTTTATACATTTTTTATGTTAAAGGTACTTCTATTAGTGCTAGTTTATAGTCTGCAACATTTAAAAGTATTTTAATTAAAATTTCATTCTTCTATGTTTTGAATTAACTGCTATACACCAATTTTACAGATGTTGGCGTACAAAGAGGCGATCCAGTTTTGACCCCCGATGGTTTCATCGTAGTTGTGTGTATTTACCTTGTCTTGAATTTGGCCTGGATTTTAGCTTCACTTAACAGTAAGTTACGTTTTTGTTACGTTTTAATACGTTTTGATACGTTTTGTTATTTAAGAATGCATTCCATTTTTAAATTTTGTTTGCAATTTTGAGGTTAAGAACACATACCGAAATTATTAGTCATTTTAATATTTTCAAAATATTTGGCCCTCAATGCATACTTTTGGTTGCTGTTTATCTATTACAAAAAAATTCCTGATCGCAGTGATAATTTACTGATATAATTTTGAAACTTCTTACATTTTTTCTGTTATCTTTGTTTATAGTTAAATATATTATTATTGAACGAGCATGTAATTGGTACTCATGTTTCAAGGGTGCCAACACTACTACGTATGACACTTACGTGCTTCATACGTTTTGGTACACTACATTTCGACTGCTTTACATTTTTGGAAAAGATGTCTAAAAATGACCTCAAGTAAAAATTTGTTACACTAATTCGAAATTCTTATCAATTTTTGGGAGGGATTATTAGCTATTAAACTAGATGTTGATAAGTGAGAAGGTTTTACATTTTTATAAAAGATAACTGGGACACCCGAGAAGGTTTCACATTTTAGAAAAAAAATTTGGTGTTCCCGAGAAGGTTTTACATTAAAAAAAAAATAAAATGGGAGCCTCGAGAAGGTTTCACATTTAAAAAAAAATACATTTGAGGCCTCCGGGAAGGTTTTACATTTTTAAAAAAGACAGTTGGGACCCCCGAGAAGGTTTAATATTCTTAAAAAAAAAGACGCTTGGGTCCCCGAGAAGGTTTTACATTTAAAAAATAATAATTAGAAAAAACATTTGGTGCCCCCGAGAAGGTTTTACGTTTTAAAAAAATACAATTGGGAGCCCCGAGGTTTCATATTAAAAAAAAAAATACATTTGAGGCCCCCGAGAAGGTTTTACATTTTTAAAAAAGACAATTGAGGCCTCCGAGAAGGTCTCACATTATTTAGCGCCCCCGAGAAGGTTTTCCATTTTTAAAAAAGACAGCTGGGACCCCCGAGAAGGTTTCACATTAAAAAAAGACATTTAGAGCCCCCGAGAAGGTTTTACATTTTTAAAAAAGACAGTTGGGACTCCCGAGAAGGTTTCACATTAAAAAAAAGACATTTGGAGCCCCCGAGAAGGTTTTACATTTTTAAAAAAGACAGTTGGGAGCCCCGAGAAGATTTAATATTTTAAAAAAAGACGCTTGGGTCCCCGAGAAGGTTTCAGATTAAAAAAACCACATTTGGAGCCCCCGAGAAGGTTTCACATTCTTAAAAAATGCAATAGTCGCCTTCGAGAGGGTTTTACATTTTTAAAAAAGACAGTTGGGACCCCCGAGGAGGTTTTACTTTTTTATAAAAGATAATTAATTGGGACACCCGAGAAGGTTTCACATTTTAGAAAAAATATTTGGTGCCCCCGAAAGAGTTTTACATAAAAAAAGTACATAATAATATTAATAATAATAATAATAATAATAATAATAAATCTTTATTTGTGCTAATAAAAAATTTTACACGCGTCAGAAGAAGCTAGTAAATACATCGAACATAATTTTATAAAAATAAATAACAATTTTTAAAAGAAACAAATTAGAATTAACTCTATAAATATATATGATCTACTATATAATAAATTAAGCACCACTAGATAGTAACACCAGGTCATTAAAATTATTATTTAGGTATTCATCTAATGAATAAAATGCCTTTCGTATCAAATATTGTTTCACATTTTTTAGAAAATCATGACTGTTGTATCTACAATTGGGAGCCTCGAGAATATTTCACATTTAAAAAAAAATACATTTGAGCCCCCCGAGAAGGTTTTACATTTTTAAAAAATTGGTCTAAAGAGTTTAGACAGTACTTCCCTCGCTGTCGGAAACTTGACGACTGCATGCCTATTGTGTTTTTTTTTCTCATTACATTTTTGTAGTGGAAATTTAAAAAAAAAATGTGATGACGTCATCAACATTTTTGCAAGGACACGTATATCAGTTGGGATAGATGTAGTGTAATACTAAGAATAAAATTATTGTATTCCCAAATTTTCAGGAAAATGAATTGGGTCGTTTTGAATATTGATTTGTTATAATCAATAAAATAACGAAATAATTTACTCACGTATACGGCGCCGGTGTGTAATATCTAGGGAGCGGATTTCTGTCGGGCTAGGCAAGGCCAAACTCGGTACGGCTCGTACGGGATACGAATTCATTGCGGTTGCGGACTGCACTTCGTTTATTTGAGATTAGAATAACGCTGTTTCGTTGCACTCTGCTGTTAATTCCCGTTCTCATTTACTTAGCCGTTTAATTAATAAATCGTTAATTATATTTATGGAATTAGTACTGATTAAATTCAGTGATTATCTATCACCCGCTACTGAGTCCCGGCGATCCAGCGCGTCCCCACCTATAATCGTGACGTGGCCCGACAAAAATCCTCTGTCTAGTAATATGAAGGGCAACTGAAAATCGTTTATGTATAAACATTCTTAATTTAAGATGACAAGCGTAACAGCATACGTGAGAGTCAAACAGAGAAACTGTAAACAAAACGACCATCGGTTTTATTGCTTCGACTTCCGCTTATTATATAAAACATTGGGTTTTATTTTAATTCTTGACGGTGAAATTCACAATTGGTTGATTATAAACATATCTATTTCACATACGCGGAACCAAGTGAGCGCATAAAACAAATGCAGGTATGTAATGTTAAAGTCGATGTAAATAAGCGTGCTACCCTTATGTTTCAACCGAGTTTTTCCTTTAACAAATTTTGTGTCTACCAAATTGGGTTGGTTGGGGTGTAATACTAATAATAAGTGTTGCCTTTAATTTAATCAATAAAATAAATTGACTTCATTAATTTTTTTGAACCACCTCTTAAGAAAATCTAAAAAATATGAATGGAATGATAAATCACAAGTACAAACTCATCATATTTTTTGCATTTTAGATAGGATTTATTCAGCAAAATTTAAGGGTGACGTCATCAATTTTTTTAGGAGGGATGAACAAATACATTTTGAACAAAAGTTTACCATGCCTATAACTTTAAAATATTCCCAAGATTTCAAAGCATTCGGTTTTGTAATTCCTGATTAAATCGATAAAATAAATTCACGCCTTCATTAAATTTTTTGAGTCACCCTGCATATGCAAATCCAAAAAATATGAATGGAGTGATAAATTACAAGTACAGACTCATCATATTTTTACAGTTTGGATAGGATTTATTCGGCAAACTTTCGAGCTGACGTCATCAAGTTTTTGGAGGGGATAAGCAAATATATTTTGACTAAACATTTATTATGCTCTTTATGACCTTAAAACATCTGCAAGATTTCAGAGCATTCGGTTTTGTAGTTCCTGATTAAATCAATAAAATATATTTACGCATTCATTAATTTTTTTGAGTCACCTGTATATGCAAATCCAAAAAATATGAATGGAGTGATAAATTACAAGTACAGACTCATCATATTTTTACAGTTTGGATAGGATTTATTCGGCAAACTTTCGAGCTGACGTCATCAATTTTTTGGAGGGGATAAGCAAATATATTTTGACTAAACATTTATTATGCTCTTTATAACCTTAAAACATCTGCAAGATTTCAAAGCATTCGGTTTTGTAGTTTTTGAGTAAATCAGTAAAATAAATTTACGCATTCATTAATTTTTTTGAGTAACCCTGTATATGCAAATCCAAAAAATATGAATGGAGTGATAGATCACAAGTACAGACTCATCATATTTTGTACATTTTAGATATGATTTATTCCACAAACTTTTGAGCTGACGTCATCAAGTTTTTGGAGGGGATAAGCAAATATTTTTTGACTAAAGATTTATGATGCTCTTTATAGCCTTAAAACATCTGCAACATTTCAAAGCATTCTGGTTAGCAGATTAAAAATTAAATTTCAAAATGTTGTTTTATAATTTTGATTTTTTTTCCAAAAATCTGGACGTTTCGGGTGAAAAGTCGATTCAGAGTTGTAAACTACATGTGTAGGACTATGTTATTTTATACAATTGAAAACCCATTTACTATGTACAATTTTGAAGTGACGTCATCGCATTAGTGGTGGGGATGATTAGACAAATTTTGGTTAGCGTTTTACCATCTACATGATATTCTTAATATAAGTACAAAATTTCACAACAATCGGTCGAGTACTTTCGGAGATTATCTGTCTAATAAAAATCCGGGACGGCAGACGGACGGACAGACGGACGGACAGACGGACAGACGGACAGACGGACAGACGGACAGACGGACAGACGGACAGACGGACAGACAGACGGAAATGGGAGACCTATTTCTTCGTCTTCTAGGGGTCATGAAAGATCGAGAAAACGTAAAAGTAGAGAGTCGGCCGACGGACTCGATTACAATACTTCCTTTGCTTACGCTCGGGAAGTAAAAAGACAGTTGGGAGCCCCGAGAAGATTTAATATTCTTAAAAAAAGACGTTTGGGTCCCGAGAAGGTTTTGCCTTCTTTAAAAAAGGACAGTTGGGACCCCCGAGATGGTTTCAGATTAAAAAGACATTTGGAGCTCCCGAGAAGGTTTTACATTAAAAAAAATACAATTGGGAACCTCGAGAAGGTTTCACATTAAAAAAAAAAAAAATTGAGGCCTCCGAGAAGGTTTTGCATTTTTAAAAAAGACAGGTGGGACCCCCGAGAAGGTTTCACATTCTAAAAAGACTTTTGGCGACCTCGAAATGGTTTTACTTTTTAAAAAAAGGCAATTGAAACCCCCGAGAAGGTTTGACATAATTTGGCGCCCCCGAAAAGTTTTTACATTTTTAAAAAAGACAGGTGGGACCCCCGAGAAGGTTTCAGATTCTAAAAAAAAATACATTTGGGGCCCCCGAGAAGGTTTCACATTATTTGGCGCCCCAGAGAAGGCTTTACATTTTTAAAAGGGACAGTTGGGACACCTGATAAGGTTTTACATTTTTAACTAAAGAGGGGCATATTCTCACCTTTTCGAGAAAGTGGGGTAATTTCATCAATAAAAAATTTGTTATGACGTCATAGACACAGATAGTACACAATGGGAGAGAAAAAGAGAAAAAAAAAGAAAAAAAAACGAAAGGACAATTTTGGAATCGAACGTGTGACGTCTGGCCCGAGTTCCTGACTCGTAACCACTAAACCACCACCGAAATGCCTTACGCTAATGGTAAACAGTTATTATACCATGAATGACTTTTTACTGCCCGAGCGTAAGCAAAGGAAGTATTGTAATCGAGTCCGTCGGCCGACTCTCTACTTTTACGTTTTCTCGATCTTTCATGACCCCTAGAAGACGAAGAAAACGTAAAAGTAGAGAGTCGGCCGACGGACTCGATTACAATACTTCTTTTGCTTACGCTCGGGAAGTAAAAAGTCATTCATGGTATAATTTTCGTCTGTCTGTCTGTCTGTCCGTCTGTCTGCCGTCCCGGATTTTTATTAGACAGATAATCTCCGAAAGTACTGGACCGATTATTGTGAAATTTTGTACTTATATTAGGAAAATCAAGTAGATGGTAAAAGGCTAACCAAAATTTGTCTAATCATCCCCACCACTAATGCGATGACGTCACTTCAAAATTGTACATAGTAAATGGGTTTTAAATTGTATAAAATAACATAGTCCTACACATGTAGTTTACGACTCCGAATTTACCCGAAACGTTCAGATTTTTGGAAAAAAAATCAAAATTATAAAACATTTTGCAATTTAATTTTGAATCTACTAACTCGAGTGTTTTGAAATGTTGCAGATGTTTTAAGACTATAAAGAGCATCATAAATGTTTACTCAAAATATATTTGGTTATCCCCTCCAAAAACTTGATGACGTCACCTCAAAAGTTTGCCGAATAAATCTTATCTAAAATGTACAATATATGATGAGTCTGTACTTGTGATATATCACTCCATTCATATTTTTTGGATTTGCATATACAGGGTGACTCAAAAAATTAATGAATGCGTAAATTTATTTTATTGATTTACTCAGGAACTACAAACCAAATATTCGGTTATCTTCTCCAAAAAACTGATGACGTCAGCTCAAAAGTTTGCCAAATAAATCCTATCTAGAATGTACAAAATATGAAGAGTCTGTACTTGTAATTTATTATTCCATTAATATTTTTTGAATTTGCATATACCGGGTGACCCAAAAAAATAACGAATGCGTAAATTTATTTTATTGATTTACTCAGGAACTACAAAACCGAATGCTTTGAAATCTACTGCGAAAAAAAACATACTAGGCATGCAGTCGTCACGTTTCCGACAGCGAGGGAAGTACTGTCTAAACTCTTTAGACCAATTTTTTTAATCCACGTGAATGACCTTTTTTTTCTCAAAATTATTCTGTAATTTGATATGCAGATGATACCACTATTGGTAAAAGTGTATCAGCCACTGAATTAGTGACAACTTCTCTTCTTAATATACATTCCCATGGAGAACCCTGGTTTTTAGCTAATAAACTTTGCCTCAACAAAAAAAATCTGTCAATACGGTTTTTTCTCTGAAGAGAAGTAACTTATTTTTAAATACTGAAAATGTTACAAAGTTCCTCGGTATTATTAGATACAAAATTACTATGGCATGAACACATAAACTACTACTACCACAAGAAATCTATCCAGTGTTGTTGGTCGTGATGTATTAAATGTATCTTGTACACAATGTATTTCATTTTATTTGGAGCTTTTTGGTGTTTTCACGAGTGTGAGATTTTTTTTTTGGAACTTACATTATGTTTTTGCAAAAATTTGGACAGTTAAGGAAAAACTGAAAACGGATTCGTATACCACACTTATAGGATCATATTGTTGTATAACAATTTAATCAAATAAAAATAGAATTCTTTGAAATAACGTCAAATTGTGGGTGGGGATGATTAGCAACATTTTGGTTAGCATCTACATAATATTTCTAATATACATTCAAAATTTGACAATAATTGTTGAAGCAGTTTCGGAGATTACGTGTCTAATAAAAATGAACACAGACACCAGACAGACAGACAGACAGATAGACAGACGGAAACGGGAGACTACATTTTTCGTACTCTAGGGGTCATGAAACGTCGAGAAAATATAAAAGTGGCCATTCGTCGGATATATATATATATATAGGGATAATCCAAAATAAATTAGGAAACTCGTATACTACAAAATTCAGTTTTCCAGAAAGTTAGCTGCATTCTTCCTAGACATAAATAAATGGGGCTAGATATACAGAGTGAGCCAATAAGCGTGCACCCCGTCATATCTCTTTAATTATTATTAGACATGGGAAAAAACAATGACCATTCCTGTATAGCATTTTGCACTACACCCCTTATCTTTTTTTTTCAAAGATAGATTGTTCTATTTTAACACCAAAATTCATGAGAAAGAAAATAAATAACATAGTCAATGCGATAAAATATACAGGGAGCTTTATGATATTATTTTGAATCTCTTGCAATATTAAAGAATTTAAAGAATTCCACGGGTCACCTCGTTCCCCACAGTGCATATCACACCCTGTTTTCCTTCTATATGACCCGTTAGACAATGACATATGGGATAATTTACTTGTCCCCATTTTCTCTATCCAGGGTTACTGCTAATTAGTCGTCTTAACCATAAATCTTTCCCAGTCTTGTCCCACTCTTCTTGCCATTTTAAGATGGTTCCTTGTCTGAGTTCTTTTCAATCTGAGTTTTTTTTTCGCCAAGGTTTCCATAGATTTGCCCTCTTTTTCCACCTCGTCATCCTTGGAATTTATGAAAATATACACACATAGATATTTTTTTATCTTTACTGTTTATCTGTTTGCCTTGAAAAGTCAATTCCAGAGCTTTTAATTTTCCCCAGGACAAAATCTCCATCTCCGTTTTGTCTAATTCTAATTCTAAGTTTTTCTTCCTTATTTCTTCATATATTTCACATAGTGACCGTTCTACCTTTCTTCTAAGATCCTCGGGTTTCTTGGCCAACACTATCATGGCCATATCTTTTCAAAGTACCAGCATTGTCCACATGTTTTCTCCGTCTACTGGCCTTGGTCATCGACCAGTTTATCCAACAGAATCGTTTCCGTCTTTTCAGGGCAATTTTCAACTCCTTCTTCTCCAAAAATGTTATCACCTTCCTGGCCGCTATCTCAGCTGTCTCCTCCAACTTCTCTCGTTCTTCCAATTATTACTGACGCCAGGTCATCTACATATCCGATTACATCCGTTTCGTCACTATAAATACCCCATCGTATCGTATAATTCAAAGAATTGGTACCAACACGGATTCCTGTGGGACTCCACAGCTTACCTAGAGGTTATTTTGCTCTACCCATAAACTTCTACTACTCAATTAACTTTTTATCATATGTGCTAATTTTACACTTTTCTTCCAATTCTTTTATTATTGCCTCCCATCCTGCCGTATTAAGTGCGTTTGTCACATGTAAACATATTTTACGGTATCTATAGCAGATTTTATTTATCTTATTTATCTTCTCTTTAACCTTCATTGTAGCGTCTATCGTTGACCTTCCTTTGTGAAATCTAAATTGGTTCTCCAATAGATTTCCTTTTGTCGACATTTCCTTTCTTATCCATCATCATGATTTCTAACAGTTTAGCTGACGTGTATTAATCTTGCTTCCTTGAACTCCTTTAGAATTATGATTTTTATATCTCAACGCTTTCTTTTTTCTTTGCACCTAGTAGACTCTTCTATTTCTTCTACATATAATTGTTGCCGTCTTAATCTGATACTTCTTCTTTCTCTATTGCATTACTTCCTTACTTCTCCACCAGTACATAGAATGTTTCCCCAAGTTCTTTGTCTCTTTCTTCCTCAAAGCTTGACCTGACCTGACCTGACCTTTCCTGATCTGTCTTGACCTGTCAAGAAAATAGTATTATGAAGACTAATATTACATTTTTGCTTTCAGTTCTCTTCAGGCAAAATAATAAAGTAATCATTTCTCTAAAACTATGGAGCCTTATCACGTGGTTGAATTGCCTGTATGACTTTATTGTAACTGTTATACTTGGAACAGATCACCAGAAATGTTTAGACATAGCCAGCGATCTCGAAAGGGCCAACAAAATAGCTATAGAAACTGGCTGTACCAATGGAATCATACCAGTCTTGATGATAGCAGCAAAAGGATTTGTTTTATGGCTGGTTAATTTTGCTTTTCTTATTGTCCTTCTGTCAATAGCCAACAAACTGAAACAGGAACAGGTCAGTTTAATACCACGTATTATTATTTCCTCACCATGAAGTACTTTGTTTTTAGAACGCAAACGTTTTCTCCAATTTCGATAACTCTAAGCCATATTTCCCCGAAACTGGACATCCACAAACACCTTACCCCCAAATTAATTCTCCTCATCCTCACCGCCACTCTGTACCAGCCAACCCATATCATCGACAGAACTCCCAGCTTCAAGGCTCTCCCATTTACACCAGTCCTGTCGCCCAAAAACAAAAGTTCGCTCCCAGCCCACCTCCAAAACCTACCAGATCATGGAATGTTCACACAGGCTCACCCCGAAATTCACCAGCGTCTTCGTACAGAACCGACATGAATAATAGCAACAGATCGTCGCCGACTGTGTCAAGAGTACCATCCCGGCAACAAATTCTGTCAAACCAGACCCAACGACCTTTTGTGCTTCACTCTCCTCCTAGACGACACTGACTGAGTATTATTTGTAAATAGTGATAGAGTTAAGTTGTATAGAGGTCGTTTTTAATAAATGCAATTGAAGAAATACAGTGTTTTATTATGTACAAATGCCAAATCAAGATTCGTCATAATCTCGATTTTTAAATCACAACTGAGAACGAAAATTGTATATTTTTACAAATCTGTCATCCCTAAAAATACATTGTTTGATAACATCTGATTTCTAAAATCTCTACATGCGTCCATAATATATGACCACCAAGGAGCATTTTCACAATGTTATCGTTATCATTAAAACATCAGATAAATCAACCTCACAATTAATATCTTTCTACTTATTGTTATAAAAATATCGAGTTACATCTTAATACAAATATCTTATCTTAAGTGTCTATTTATATAAAAAAGTATATACATAAAGACGAATACTGAGATAAATAATAATCAATCACTTAAATAAATAAGAGAATACGTAACCGCTCTTGAATTAGTATCGACTAGAGAAGTGGTTTCGTCCATTGGGTGATCTAGGGCTGGGAGTCCTACTGACACCAAAGAAGTCTTGGTTCCTTTCATAAGGAGTCCTAGGACTCAAGGGTCTGTTATTGCCAAAAAATTCTTGATTCCTTTCATAAGGAGTCTTAGGACTTCTGGATCTGTTGTTATCAAAGAACCCTTGAGTATTCCTAGGGCTAACAGGAGGTGTTCTAGCATCCATAGCAGTCCGTAAATTCACGTTCCACAAATTCTTTTCAGTGTTGATATTTACAGCCTGCTGACTGTACAAACTGGGTGCAGACGAAACATTTGCTCGTGGGATGTGTCCAGTGATTCTGTAAATTCTAAAAACAAAAGAAACGTCAGAAGATACCTAAGCTGTCAATCAATCAATCTGGCGCCAGATTATCACTTGCAGTTTTTGTCATATTTTAAGTATTGATATCAATATTGATGATTATGGTACTTACGGGAAAATGCCTCCAAACGTGCCTTCATAAGAGCCGCCCTAAAAAACACACTTTTTTCGAAAAAACGTCAAAATAAAATCAAATGACTTACCCGTCTCAGTAAATCAGCATTCACCAACATTCTCCAAGCAATGATAACATTGACGAACCACAAAATGAAGCCTCTAGCAGCTATGACTAGAATTGGAATCACAGTATTTGTGCAGTGCTCTTCACCATAAGCGTCTTTGCAATAACGTCCATAATCAAAACCTAACATTATTACTAGAATAAGGTCAACCAAAGAAATAATCCAAGTGATTAGCGCCCAGTCTTTAAACACTATAGGGACGTTTAAACTTAGTTTTCTAAGAACTAAAAATGATTCGTCGTTAATATATAAATAATTGTGATTTCAAAAACCTACCGTTAAGTTGGACAACGGATGTGACGACCCAAGCAGTGTTAAGAACGATGTAAATGCACATAAACACCGTGAAAGCCAAAGGCGTCACGGAAGTTCCTGGTGGAAACTTAGCGTCCTCTAAAAATTCAAAAATTTTTTTAAAATGACTATTAATTGTGTTGGAATTTTACTGTATAGATAAAAATAATACACTCTGCTGTTAAAAGTGTCCATATAACTTGTCGCATTTTGTGGGGGGGTTTTTATATTATATTCAATTATACAAGCTAATGACAGCGCAAACCACGCTATCCCCTGAATCTGCAAACAAAAAATATTTTTTTTATGTAGTTGTATATAATATTTTTATTACTTACTATTCCTAAGAGGGAAGCAGCTTTTCCTAAAGTTATTTGGCCTGAGGTAACGTGCGCCATACTTGACGGTTTTAAGAGCAAGATAATACAAAACTAAGTTTTCACTAGCTTTTCTTCTTATAGACAAGTGTTCTCTGTACCGTATCTGATAAAGAAGTTAGGAGCTCAGATTTTGTTTTAAGCGATGATATGATTGATTGGGTAGATTACATCACCATTAGCGACATTTCAAAAATTCCACTTATTTGGGTGCTAAAGGTGTATGTGTAATAATGCAGGCTAAAAATTTACCAAACAACGTAAACCATCCGAAAAATCGGTGAGTAGAGTTAGAATTTATAAAATTAAATTAGTTGTGTAGGTGTATATATTTATGGCAACTTTTCTACAACTACGTATTTGATTCTAATGATTTTTATAAGTAGCTTACAAAATGGAAAATTTTTCGGTTTGTCTAAAAGTTTTATTGACGGGTTCAAACAATTACAATTAGTTACACCAAAAACAAGATCAGTGCTGAGAAACAAATTTACTCACTTGGAACACCACGAGAGAGATAATAGCTGGATAACAATCGATGGGAAATAATAACCGTGTATAGCAAGAAAATGGAGGAAACCAAGATAAACATAGAAAAGGAAACAAAAGGAAAAGGAGATGAAAAAATACTTATAGGAGGGGATTTTAACGCAAGATTGGGCGATAAGGAGACAAGAATAATAGATAAAGAAAAGGGAGAGAAAAGAGGATCAAAAGATAAAGCAAATAACAAAGAAGGGAAAATATTGCGGCAGATAATAGAAGAAATGGGATGGGAAATTTTGAATGGAAACAAAGAAGGGGATGAAGAAGGAGAATGGACGTACGTAGGGACTAGGGGAGAATCAATTATAGACTATGGGATTGTCAACGAAGAGGCGTGGGAAGAAATAGAGAGTTTCAAAGTGGGGGAAAGGGTAGAATCAGACCACTTGCCTCTAGAAATAAAAATCAAAGGAAAAGAGCAAGAGTACGAAAAACAAGAGAGAAAAAACGAAAGAAAAGAAATGGAAATAACAATATGGGATGAAGAGGGAATTCAAAGATACAGAAGTAGACTAAAAAAAAAGAAATTCGAAATAAAAGAAGATATAGAAGCTATGATAGCGAAACTGAGCAACCTAATTGTAGAAGCTACGAAAAAAATTAAGTTATACATATGGAAAAGAGGAATAATGGATGGAACGGAGAATGTAGTGAGTTGAAGAGAAAAACAAGGGAAAAATTAAAAAAATGGGAGAATAACAAGGGATGGAAAGAAGAGTACCTAAAAGCAAGAGACAATTATAGGAGAAAATGGGAAGAAAGAAAAAGAGAAAAACGAGAAGAAGAAGAGAAGACAATAAAGTCCCTGAAAACAGACAATAATTTACTAAAATACTGGCAAGTACAATTACGAGTAGAAGTGCAAAAAGTGCGGAGCCGTTTTTAAGTGAAACGATAACAGCGAGGCGATAGGGGAGTAAAAAGCGAGGGATCAACACAGATATCGGATAAACGTAAACACGGATAGGAGAATAACCTCCGAAGAGACAATCTGGGTTATATCCTTCCGCCGTAAAGGAAGTCAAAGACAAAGAGGTAATGAGTAGTAAAGGGACAGAAAGAAAGAAAAGGGATAGAGAAGCAGAGTCGCCGAAAGAGAACGAGCAGGTTTTCCAAAGAAGCAAAATAACAGTAAGATCACCTCTGCAATCGAGAGAGAAGGAAAATGAAGAAGATATAGAGATGGAGGAGGTCAAGAAGATGATCAGCGAACTTGCGACACAAATCAGAGATGATATGAGAGAAAGTAATAAACAATTAATGAACGAATGGAATACACAGCTTAAAGAGGAGCTTAAAACAATAAGAGAAGAATTAAAGCAAGCAAGAGATCAACCAGAGGAGCAAAATCAAGAAATTAGAGATAAGTATGAAGAATGGAAGAGAGCTAAGGAAGAAATGGGAAAGAGAGTGGGTGAAGTAGAAAGTCAACTAGATTGAATGGAGAGAGAAAAGAGAAGAAATAAAGTAGTGATGATGGGATTGGACATAGAAACAGGAGAGCAGAAGCAGATAATTGGAAAAGTGATAAAATTTTTAGAAGAGAAAGTCAAAGTAGAGAGTAAAGTTAAAAGCGCGTACAAAATTGCAGAGAAAGTTTATGTAGTGGAATTCGAAAACAGAGAAGAAAAAATAAATGTAATGAAAAGCAAGAAGAACTTAAAAAGGTCGTCAATTTACATAAATGATGATCTGACGAAAACGGAAAGAAAAATTCAAAACAAGATAAAAGAAGAGGCAACAAAAGAGAGAAATAAAGGAAAAATGGTTAGAATGGGATATAAAAAGTTAACTGTAGACGACAGAAATTTTAAATGGAATGAAGAAGAGGGCAGACTTAAGAAGGCAGAAAATTTTTAGTAAAGAGCCAAAAGAGAAGGAAGAAAACGAGGAAAAAGGGAAGCAAACAAGGCAAAGGAAAAGGAAAGGGAATAAAGGATGTAGATAGGGAAATCGGAAAAAGGGAAGCTGGTACAAAATTAGAAGAAAAAGGGGTGAAGGTACTGTTTTGGAATGCCCAAGGGTTGCGAAAAAAGGAAAAGGAGTTCTGGGACTACGTGGGAAAATTTGATGTTGTGGGGCTAGTAGAGACTTGGGTGCAAAGAGAAAACTGGGAGAAATTGGAAGAGACACTACCACAAGAATATGTGTGGGAGTGTCAAGGGGCGACAAAGGAAAAGAAAAAGGGGAGAGCAAGCGGGGGAATAGTAATGGGAATTCGAAAAGAAATACAAGAATTGGAAAAGGGAAGTAATAACAAAAACGGACTAATGAAGAAAGTAATACAGCTGAATAACAATCGATGGGAAATAATAACCGTTTATAGCAAGAAAATGGAGGAAACCAAGATAGAACATAGAAATGGAAACAAAAGAAAAGGTAGATGAAAAAATACTTATAGGAGGAGATTTTAAAGCAAGATTGGGCGATAAGGGGACAAGAATAATAGATAAAGAAAAGGGAGAGAAAAGAGGATCAAAAGATAAAGCAAATAACAAAGAAGGGAAAATATTGCGGCAGATAATAGAAGAAATGGGATGGGAAATTTTGAATGGAAACAAAGAAGGGGATGAAGAAGGAGAATGGACATACGTAGGGGCTAGGGGAGAATCAATTATAGACTATGGGATTGTCAACGAAGAGGCGAGGGAAGAAATAGAGAGTTTCAAAATGGGGGAAAGGGTAGAATCAGACCACATGCCTCTAGAAATAAAAATCAAAGGAAAAGAGCAAGAGTACGAAAAACAAGAGAAAAGACACGAAAGAAAAGAATTAGAAAAAAGAATATGGGATGAAGAGGGAATTCAAAGATACAGAAGTAGACTAGAAAAAAAGAAATTCGAAGTAAAAGAAGATATAGAAGCTATGATGGTGGAACTGAGCAACCTAATTGTAGAAGCTACGGAAAAAAGATATACATATGGCAAGGGAGGGATAATGGATGGAACGGAGAATGTAGTGAGTTGAAGAGAAAAACAAGAGAAAAATAAAGAAAATGGAAGAATAACAAGGGAAGGAAAGAAGAGTACCTAAAAGCAAGAGAGACTTATAGGAGAAAATGGGAAGAAAGAAAAAGAGAAAAACGAGAAGAAGAAGAGAAGACAATAAAGTCCCTGAAAACAGAAGAGCAAGTATGGAGATATATAAACAAGAAACGGAGAAGGAAGACTGAAATCAGCGGGAAAATCAAAATACATGAATGGAAAACACACTTTGTGGAATTATTGGGAATTTGTGAGGAAAAATGCTGCAAAATAAATAAAGGAATCACAACGACGGAAGAAATGTGGAGAGGTTCGGAAATAACAAAAGATGAAATAGAAAGACAGACTGGAAGACTGAAAAGAGGAAAGGCACCAGGAGGGGATGGAATCCAGAACGAAGCGTGGATGTTCGGGACAGAAGAAGTGAAAGAAAAGATATGGGAAGTGGTAAATGGAGTTTGGAAGGGAAAAGGGTTTCCTCGGCAGTGGAGAGAAGGTATAATAATCCCATTATTTAAAAAGGGGCAAAAAAGTGATCTGAAGAACTACCGAGGGATTACCTTGCTCAATACGGCGTACAAGATATATGCAATGATACTCGATGAGAGGTTACGAAAGGAAATGGAAGCAAGGGGTATGTTACCAGACGGCCAGGCAGAGTTTAGGAAAGGAAGAGGTACTATGGACAATGTGTACATCCTGCGGCATTTAGTGGGAAGAGAAATAAGGAAAGAGGGTGTACGAATGTACGCATTGTTCACAGATTTCAAAGCAGCGTTTGATAGCGTGAATAGAGAGAAAATGTGGGAGTATTTGAGGAGAAAGGGAGTAGATGCATACTTGGTAACGAAAATGGAAGAAATATATGAAGAAACAGTAAATACGGTGAGAGTGAATGGAATAGAGAGTGAGAGTTTTTATACAAATAGAGGAGTGAGACAAGGATGTCCACTCAGCCCCGCATTGTTTGCAGCTTATCTAGGAGATAATATAGATGAAATGTTGAGAAAAGCACAGACAGGAGTGGTGGTAGTCGGCAAAGAGAAAGTGTGGTCGTTGGCGTACGCAGATGATTTGGTGATTGCAAGAATGTTGGAAAGAAATAAAAAAGGAAGGGGGAAAAATATTTGGAACGAAAGGGACAAGTATTATGAAGGAAAGGGATATGCATGTGAAGAAATAGAGAGAATGAGAGAAATGGGAAGGAGTATGAAAGAGGAACTGAGTGTAAGAGATAAGGATATAGTTAACCAAGAACGCAGATCGAGAACATCGGAGTCTAAATATAATGGAGAGTATAGAAAAACAGTAAAGGCTGAAGTACCAAAGCACAGACAGAGTATAAAAAAGAAAAGAATGATGGCGAGATTTAGCGTCATTTCAAAGAATTCTATTTTAAGATTGTTTAAATGTCATGCAATAATGTACTCCTATACTTGTGGTGTATGAATCCGCTTTGAGTTTTTTCCTTAAACGCCTAAATGTTTGCAACAAAATTAGCACAGCATAATTACATTTTACCGCTAACTCAATTATTTCTTTAAGTAGAACAAGAAAGTGGTCAAATAAGACTTTAATTAGAAAACATGTTTCTTAAACATAACTCACTATCCTACAACATTTTCGTTTAAATTATTTCTTCAACGGCATAGAAATTATAAAACAACGCGTTGAGACGATACAGTTTTAAATTATTTAACACACGTCACACAATATAGCCATTTAAAATTTCTTATCTAAATCCTCAATAAAAGTTCATCAGTGACAAGTATGTCGGTACTTTCTAATACTTGGCAAAAGACTGCTGCCGCTGCACTGGATAATACGTAGGACCTGTTGGTGGGCTCATTCCATCGTAGGAAACAGGTCTTGGATTATTATTCAAAAAATTATCATTATTATTATAGGGTGCAGACTGATTCGACCAGTTATTCTGATTTGACTCGTTGCTCTGATTTGGCCAGTTATTTGTAGACGGTTGAAGAGTCGTCCGAGGAATTTGTGGATCTGCGCTACTACAATCCAAAGACATTAAAATACACCCACATGAACAACAAATCACTCACGGCAAACTTCTGCTCAAATTTTTTCCCTGAAACGTACACAAAGACAAGTTAGGTTAATTAAATTTTTAAAAATAGTAGTTACTTACAGATTGGATGGTTCTGATGATCCTGTAGAAAACATAAACGAAAATAACATTCACAATCCATAGGATAAAACCTTTCGCAGCTACAACAAGTACGGGAATGAATACAGGAGTGCAAATGCGTTCTCCTGAATCCGGTATACAATTTACATTATAATCAACTCCAACCAGCACTACTAATATGAAATCAATGAATGCAATTAAAAATGCTATTACTGCCCAGCACTTGAATACGTTAAGACAGTTACTGTGGGTTTTATTTATTGCTAAAAAAAAAGTGGGTCCAACGACAAACACTCCAAATTTTTCTGTACTTACCGCATAACTGCCAAATAGAAACGACTACCCAAATGAAGTCAGTAATCAAATATATACACAAAAATACCACCAAACCGCGTGGAACAATAATATAGTCAGACTCCAACTTTCCTGCAAAATAAGATAAAACAGTAACTAAAATATGCACTGAGAAAACAATAACAACCATCCAGAAAGGGGCTCCCTAAAATTATTGGAATAAACATCCCAGACAAAAGAATCCAAACTGTCCCCTCAAGCTACAAAATTTATGTATGAATTAAATTAAAAAAATTATAATAATAAAACACTTACTATTCCCAAGACAGAGGCAATGGTTGCCAGTCTGTATTGAGGTTTTGTTAGCTTCGTCATTTTCACTCAATTTTGTTGTGACAAATAGCATTTATTGACTTATTCTGTAATCTCCCTTCGTAATAACCATTGCCATTATCGATAAAGATAAGCTTAAAAATTATTTAGCGGTTGAGCAATTTCTAAATACCAAGGCGGAGCTTATTAAGGAAATACTATTTTTCTGTGTTGTAAGAATGTGTATTGCTAGAATGGTGAAAAACACAGTGTACCAAAAGAAGAGACATGTTTTAAGTTAATTTAGTACAAAATATTTAGATTCGTATTTTATTTTATTTCTGGAAATTATAAGTTCTCAAAAAGCCCTAATAATAATATTTCAAACTAGACTGCAGTATTTGTTTTTATTTTTGATACACGTTGTATGACAAAAATACAGTAAGATGCTAAATTATGGACATCTTAGACCTCGTAGAAGAGCTTAATTTGACACAATAATTTTTCATAAAATAATGTACTTCTGATTTTTTTTATATTGCGATAAAATAATTTACACAGAACTTACTTAATCCCCGAAGCAGAACAAGACCACACGTCACTAAATTGATATTAGGAGTGAATATAATAAAATTTTACAGAGCAACTGTGCTTCCAAAATTATTATCGTCAAAAATCAGATTTGTTATGTTTATTATGTCTAAATAACAAAAAAAGAAGATATTACTGAAGTTATTTCACGCTGCTTATCAACGAAAATGGAACATATTAATTTTGCTAGTATACAGGGTGAGTCACTAAGCGCGCGCCCTCCTCGATATCTCAATAAATATTAGTGTTTTATTTTTAAGGCGTAACACACAATTTAGTTCTTTCAAATATCATACCCTATAGACTTTGATATATTCAGTTTAACCTGCTCTGAGACTCTATAAACATAGCTTATTGTCGAAATCCATTGCGACCTTGCTCAATTAATTTGATTTTCTTGAAATTTTTTAGCAACAAAAAATTCGGAATGAGCTTACTTTTAAAATATGGGTCACAATATTTTGTGAAAGTTAAATAAATATACGCATTTTATTTAGGTGGAATGAAATTGGAGTTTTAATATACAGTGTGTTTATAAAAAATAGAAATTTTCAAATATCGATATCAAAGTTTGTGATTTTTTTTGCAATTTTAAGAAATACTCGAATGTATTGAAGAAAAAAATAAAATGAATTGCAGTAATAAAATACATTTGAAAAACTGAAACACATATCTACAGATATATATCTGAAAACTGTATGCTTAAGTTTTTTAAAAGCACTCTGTATATTAAAATTGTATTTAATTGATACCATAAGAAAACGCGTACCTCTGTTTATTTATCCATAAAATATTGAAATACACATCTTAAAAATATTAATATTTAAAAACACACACATTTTCAGTTCCTTTGTTACGCTGGTTTTGCATTTTTTCGTTAAAATACTAATTGAATTTGAAACTTAATTTAAAGACGTCTCGTATAAGTCGTTCTAAACTAAGAGTAAAAAGTAAAATAAAATTCAATGTTAATATTAGATGATAATAATAAGATGTTTCATTTAAAAAATGAAGTCCTATGTTACGCTTTTAAAATAGAACATTTTCTAAGTTAAACATAATTTAGAGTAGAGTCTTCCAAGAACTCACCGTGTATATGTACAGATCATTATATACAGGGCGAGTCACTAAGGGCGTGGTCCTCGATATCTCATTAATTATTATTAGAGATAGAAAAAGTCAGATATTGTGTATGGCTGCTTGACTAACAAGTATTAAAATTAATTTCAACTATACAGAGTGTTTTGTTTTAGAGGTATAGCACAAAATATTTCTTTTAATGGAATAGCCTTTGTCGGGTGAGTGGAAAATGGCGGATTAACTTTTTAGTACGTTATGTACGGAGGTTTCCCAAAAAAATAATTAAAAAATTCTTTATGATGTAGATTACGAAAAAAACGTAATTTTATAAAAGTAAAATGGGCAACAGTGCACGCACCTAATGCGTGAATACCTCGGGCTTAATTTCTGATTTCTTAGTAACGATGGTGACTGAAATCCACCTTTATTTTTTCTCAGGACAATAAACGCAACAAACTGATTTTAGCAGCTATTAGCCCCTCCCACCCAACCTATCTTTTTTTAGAGTGCATGCCATTTGCCAAAATTGATCTTATTTTAGCAGTACTAACCCTGCCCACCCGCCCTCTACTTTCTTAGAGAGATCTCATTTGCCAAAATCAGTCTTATCTTAGCATCTACTAGCCCCGCCCACCCACCTTCTCTTTTCTTAGAGAATATGGCATTTGCCAAAATTAATTTTTTCTTAGCAACTATTAGTTAGGATAAGACTGATTTTGGCAAATGACATACCCTTAAAAAAAAGAGGGCGGGTGGGTAGGGCTAGTACCTGTTAAGATCAGACTGACTTTAGCAAATGACGTATTCTCTAAGAAATTTAATTAAATTATTATAAGAAAAGACACTAGAGGCTCCAAAGCACTTTCAAACTTTTTCCAAACTGGAATATCTACAATCTCAAGATTGTTTTAAAATTTTCAAAAAAAACGGGGTTCCACCATTAACTCAAAAATAGATCAAGTCAGAATTTTCTAACAATAGAAGACCAAAGTCCCCCAAAATTGTTTTAAATAATTTACAAAAAAAATCCCCATGAGCTCGCAAAATAATACACCATGGACACCCAAGAGTCTACCGAATTAAAAAAAAAAAAAAAAACCGCGACACTCAATACTTTTTCACATTCATAAAAAATAAAAACTAAAAGCTCAAAAGATTGTTTTCAACAGAACACCAGATTCCTTTAAATTTATCCGAAAACACCAGGGGACCTTAAATTAACTCTGAAGATTTTAAACGTAGGGTTTTGAAAACTTTGACAATTTTTTATACGTCAAACATTTTGAATTGCTTATTCGATTTTTGTTGATTTGTACTTTTGCTTTATATCAAGTAAACATTGTTTTCAAATTATTACAAAAACAAAACAACCATATCTTCGTACCTTCTCAATGAAATTGTAATTAAACAGGGCCACCAAAATATGAGAAGGAATTTTTTTACTATTTTTCCCAGACTCATCAGTTGATTGTTAAGAGCGTAGCGGAGTGTTAATCCGCCATTTTCCAGACACCCGGTATATTTCTACATATTCTTATTAGCCTTTTCCTAGGCTTCATAGCGATAATTTATTTTTGAAATTAAAATAGGACGTTGCCATTTCATCCCATTTTTTTTTATTTTTTATCAAATCAATGGTTCAAAAAAAATTGAAATATTGATATTTTTAAGATGTGTATTTCAATGCTTTATAGGCAGAGGTACGTGCTTTGTTATGATATCAATTAAATACAATTTTAATATACAGAGTGCTTTTAAAAAACTTAAGCTTACAGTTTTCCGATATAGATACATGTTTCAGTTTTTCAAATGTATTTTATTACTGCATTTCATTTTATTTTTTGTTCTCTTTCCTTCAATACCTCGATATATTCCTTAAAATTGCAACAAAAAAACTCTGATACAGATATTTGAAAATTTCATATTTTTTATAAACACGCCGTATATTAAAACACAATGTTATTTCCTCCGCAAAAAAGTGCGTATCTTTATTTAACTCTTCACAAAATGTTGTGACTCAGATTTTAAAAGTAGCCTCATTCGGATTTTTTTGGTGGACCCACCCTTCCATTGCTAAAAAATTTCAAGAAAATCAAATTATAATGTGACCTTGCTCAAACATCGGATTTCGACAATAAGCTATGTTTATAGAGTCTCAGAGCAGGTTAATCTGAATGTCAAAGTCTATAGGGTATTCTAGTTGAAAGAACTAAACTGTGTGTTAAGCCTTAAAAATAGAACACTCTGTATAGCTTATATAAATTTAGTATATGGTCCTCGAAGAACTGTACAATTTTAGTCTTAGACTTATTTTCTATTTCTAATATTTATTGAGATACCGGTGAGCGCGGCACTTAGTGACTCACCTGTACACTAACAAAATTAATATATTTCCATTTTCGTTGATAAGCAGTGTGAAATAACTTCAGTACTACATCATTTTTTTTATTATTTAAACAGAATAAGCATAAAAATCTGATTTGTGACGGTAATATGAACTTAGTGACGTCAGCTGTGTTGTTTTTATGCTTCGGAGATAAAGAAAGTTCTGTGCAAGTAATTTTATGGCAATCTAAAGAAAAAACAAAAGTACTTTATTTTATAGTTATGGAGAATTATTGTGTCAAATTACTGTATTATTGTTATATTACATGTATCAAGAATAAGAAAAAAATACTGATTTTTTTTTTCTTTTTGAGATTTATAATTTCCAGAAATAGAATAAAATACGACAAATAAACTGTGTCTCTTTTGTGTACATTTTCACCATTCTAGCAACAAACATTCATACAACAAAGAAAAATATTATTTCCTTAATAATCTCCGCATTGCTATTTAGATATTGTTCAACCGCTAAATAATTTTTTAAGCTTATCTTTATCTATTTTGGGAATGGTTATTAAGAAGGGAGATTACAGAATAAGTCCGTAGATGCTGTTTGTCGCAACAAAATTGACTGAAAATGACGAAACTAACAAAGCCTCAATATAGACTAGCAACCATTGCCTCTGTTTTGGGAATAGTAAGTGCTTTATTATTATAATTTTTTTAATTTAATTTTTACATAAATTTTGTAGCTTGAGGGGACAGCTTGGATTTTTTTGTCAGCTACATTTATTGGACTATTTATAGCGACCAACTATCTGGAAGGAAGGAAGGAGTCTATCTATATTGTTAGTCCATACGGTTTAATGGTATTTTTGTGGGTATATTTGATTACTGACAGCGTTTGGGTAGTCGTTTCTATTTTGCAGTTACGCAGTAAGTACACAAAAGTTTGAAGTGTTTGTCGATGGACCCATTTTTTTCAGCAATAAATAAAACCCACAGTAACTGTCTTCGCATATTCAAGTGTTGGGGAGTAATAACATTTTTAATTGCCTTCATTGATTTGATATTAGCAGTGCTGGTGGGAGCTGATTATAATGAAAATTGTATACGGGGTTCAGGAGAACTCAGTTGTACTCCTGCCTTACTTGTTATAGCTGCGAAAGGTTTTATCCTGTGGATTGTGAATGTTGTTTTCGTTTATGTTTTCTACAGGATCATCAGGACCATCGAATCTGTAAGTAGCGGCTATTTTTAAAAATGAGATTAAGCGAACTTCTTTTTGTGTATGTTTTAGGGAAAAAATCTGAGCAGAAGTTTGCCGTGAGTGATTTTTTTATTCGTGTGGGTGTATTTTAATGTCTTTGGATTGTAGTAGCGCAGATCCACAAATTCCTCGGGCGATTTCTCAACCGTCTACTAATAACTGCCTAAATCAGAGTAACGGGACAAATCAGAATAACTGGTCAAAGCAGTCTGCACCCTATAATAATAGTGATAGTTAGAGAGCGGATTTCTAGGTTTAATGTTTTTTGTGAAAAATGTAAGCACTTCAAAACTTTTTTATATCTGTAACTATGATACAATTTGGAGTCATTTGACACATTTTTTTTTATGTTTATTTGCTTTTTTTTCAATTTTATGCATATTAAAACATCTATGCTTATTTAATGATATGAGTTTTAATGCCTATTTTGTTCAAATGCCGGCTTTGTCGGGATAACAAATACTTGTTAGTTAGCCGTATCGTAGCGTATGCATTTTACCTGGACTTGACCATTGAAGTACACTTACTCGAGACCCTTTCTGTGAATAGGTTCCGGTCGTTTGAGTAATAAAATTTTATTATAGGATTGGAAAACTACTCCATAGATTTTATGACTTTAAATCCTTACTTCCGTTGATAATGAATTAAAGCTTTTAACCAGATGTTCTTTTTCGGCATTTTGCGGCAAGACCGTTGAAGATTTTCTAGAAAAAAGGATTATTGTACCCAACTACCTACCTTAAAATTTTTCTAATGGAAACTTTTAAGTAAATGAACCGTTTATTTCACAACCATCAGTCTATCGCATCTGTCGTAGTACAGTGTTATACGTGGTTCTCCCTTGTTACATGTTGAGTTCTTTTTGGTAATATTACTAATATTTTAAAAGAATGCCGAAAGTAAAATCGACACCGGATGAGTGGATAAGGGACTTTCCAGAATTAAAATTAGAAAACAACAAAATATTCTGCAGAGCTTGTGTGAAAACCGTAAGCCCACTATTTTTTTTTTATCTATTTTCCGTTGTTAATCTATACTTATATAATAAAGCTGAAGCTGTTGTTTATTTGAACACGCTAATCTCAGAAACTACTGGTTCAAATTCAAAAAATCTTTTTGTGTTGGATAGTGCATGTATCATATCTACATATAGGTATATAAAATCACGCTACGATCATTAGGAGCGAAGTAGCAATGAAAAATTCGGAAAAACGGGAAAATTATTCCTCCTTTGACAGCTTCCGTTGCTTACGCTGCTTAAACGGTTAAAGTTACGTAAAAATCATGTATGACGAAATTGTTCCCCTCTAAAAGTTCTAAACAAAAGTCCGCGACAGCATATGTCTATCTTTTAAGGTCGAGTCAGTATAACCTTTTTTATAGTAATGAAATTTGTTCTAAAATAATAATGCATTATGTATAAAACTCTCGCGTCACACTGTTTGTAACCGAACTTCTCCGAAATGGGTAGACCGATTTGTATGAAATTTTTTATGTCTATTCGGTACGTCTGACAATAGGCTGAAAACTATTTTTTAAACCCCAAAGTGATAAGGGTGGCCCACCCTAAAAATTTGTCTATTTTTTTGACAAATTTTTTTATTTTTATTTTTTTAAGATTTGGCATCAAAAAATACACATAACCCTAAATTTTCACCTTTCTACCACCAACCCCCATTTATTAATCATCTATAAAATAAAAATCAATTGCTGTTCCTATTAGTCTCGCTAAGACTCAAAAACGGCTTGACCGATTTGAAACACTTTTTATATTACGGGGATGCTTTATAAATAAAAAAAAATAAGGATAACTTAAAAGAACAGTAAAAAATTAAAAAATTCTAAAAATTATGTATGGGAATCGCCACTTCGAATTACTTTCATTAGTTTCTGACGGACCCGTCGTCTAACTGACGTGTCATACAAAACTAATTCTTCCGTGCGATTGTGAAAAGTATATTGCATTTGAAATCGTTTTTTGTTTTTTCGTAAAAAAAACGTCGTTTATTTTAAGAAAAATCTTGGTTAAAGTGAATTTAATTACACATTGCGAAAGTTTCTTATTTATTTTGATCTGCCATTCTATTTACCTATATTCACTTTGTTGGTTTCGACAAAACCTCAAACTTTACCGTTATTCGAGGATTTAATTTGAAGTTTTCAATATTTTAAAATTCTCAAGACAAAATTTACAGATTTGATTGACTGAAAATAATTCTGTGTCGTTTTATGAAGTTCATTAAAATGCCGAGAAGACGACATCCTCACATAGGTCCACGAATCAAATGTGCGACGAACTACCTCAGGTGCAAACCGCATTGATTTATTTCATGGGTAATTCGGATATGGAAGTTGATCAGCGTTGTGCTCATAATCAACATAATAGTCAAACGTTGAAGCGAGACATTGGGTGGTATGAATAAAACTGAGTAGATACTCATATTCGAAGTACGAAGTACCTACTTCATTATTACTCTTATATACCTGAGCATCTACTCTATGTACTGAGTACCTACTGGGAAACATTGTATCTCCCCGGACACAAACTGAACATCTACGCGTTTTGTGAGCATTTAATCTAGAAATGAGCATCGGCGTGGCAAATAACTGAGCTGTCTGTAAAGTAGCTTAGAAAACCAGTAGGATCGTTGTAAGAGTGAATTTTAACTAAACATAGTGACTTTCATGAATGTGGAACGTCGTCAAAAAGTGCATTCAGTTTGAAAAACACATTAGGAGCAGGAATATCGAAAACTTTTCATGTAATTAACTTTTATTTATGCATAAATTGTGCAGTGCGTTTTTTCTAACACTGGCCATAGAGATTCCCATCGCAAGGTGTCTACCCCACACTAACTTATATTTTGGTGACTCGATTTTTGCCTTGATGGTTGAACACTGTCACTGTTGTTCTTTTTTGTTGTATCGAGATGCTACTTGAGCATCAACTGTTACTTACTGAAGTATTAGTATCATCTAGAAAAACTAGAAATATTTTGATTTCGAGTACATAGATACTTCGTATTTCGAGTATGAGCATCTACTGAGTTTTATTTATATCAACCATTGTCAAAAAATTGATCGAACGTTGTTTCGACAGAACTTCCTTCGCACCAAAAGTATAATGAAACTTATTCAACATTTTCGAGTTGAGTCATTTCTTCACACAATTTTGTGATGACCTAATCAACATTTACTATCAACACGTAGGTATACCACCTTGGATTGGTGCAGTGTAATACTAAAAATAACTGTATTGTATTCCCAAAATTATCTGCGAAAATCGAGTGAGCCATTCCATCAATTTTTTGGGGGTAATAAATAAATATTCTTAACAATTTACCATGCTTACAATAACTTTAAAACGTCTGCAAGATCTCAAAATATTCATTTTTGCAACTCTTGAGTTATTCACTAAAATAAATTGACTGATCCATATATTTTTTTGAGTCACTGTAAAAGCAAATCTAAAAAATATGAATGCAGTGATAAATTACGAAAATATACTGATGATATTTTCCACATTTTAGATAGGATTTATTCGGCAAAATCTTGAGATGATGTCTTCAAGTTTTTGGGCTTGATAAACAGATAAGTATATTTTGATTGAAAACCTACCATGTCAAACAGTAACTTCAAAACGTCTGCAATATTTCAAAATTCAGTTTTGCAATTCTTGATTCAATCAATAAAATAAATTGACTCAGTGATTAATTTTTTTGAGACACCCCCTATAAGCAAAACTAAAAAATATGAATGGAATGATAAATCACAAGTATAGTCTCATCCTATTTTGGACATTTTAGATAGGATTCATTTGACAAAATTTTGGGCTGACGTCATCAATTTTTTGGAGGGGATAAGTAAATATATTTTGAATAAAAATTTATTATGCTTATCATACGTTTAAAACATCTGCAAGATTTCAAAGCATTCGATTTTGCAGATTCAAAATTAAATTGTAGGTGAAACGGAGTTCACGGGGTCAGCTAGTCCTCTATATGTACGTTGTTTTAGATTCAAAGTGATAAAAAATATAACGTGACGCAACATGTCAGAACGACTCTTCATGTAGAAAGGAAGAAAATGTTTGAAGTTTCTAAAATTAAACAGCAGACCATGCATGAAATTGTTTTAAAGAAAACTGAAATACGTGTGTAAAATATAAAGTCTAGGATTATTGTAATAATATTTTATCCAAAGTTCTAAGAAGTGTTCTTTGATTTGTAATATGATTATGTTTTTAATGCTTTTTTGCTTAAAATAAAACTTTTTTAATGAAAGTGTTATACTTATTTAATGCTTTTTTGCTTAAAATAAAACTTTTTTTATTGAAAATGTTGTGCTTATTTAAGCGCCTATTCTTAATTTTTTTGTGCATATAAATCCGCTCTCTAGTGATAGTTTTTGGAGTAATAATCCAAGACATGTTTCCTAAGATGGAAGAAATCCACCAACAAGTCCTACGTATTATCCAGTGCAGCAACAGCAATCTTTTGCCAAGTATTATAAAGTACAGACGTAGTTTCGTTGATTAACTTTTATTGGGGATTTAGATAAAAAATTATAAATTACTGTATGTTGTTTAAGTTGTGTTAATTAATTTGAAATTGTATCGTCTCAATGTGTTTTATAATTTCTAGGTGGAAGAAGGAAATAATTTAAACGAAAATGTTGTTACTGATTCTAATTATTTAAAAATTGTTGTAGGGTTTAAAATATTGTGTTGTATAACTACCAAATTATTATTTCATGTTATAAAAAATTAGTCAAAGGTATAAGATAGAACTCCCTCGCCTCTGAAATATACTCCAACAAATCCAATTTCTTAGAAAAATTATAAAATTTGCTCTTATGAATGTTAAGTTAAAACAAAGATATGTGTAGCTAAAGAGACATGCTGGGTGCATGTTTCAAGTGAGTTTATCTCTTACAAAATTTTGTAATGACATTATCAATCTTTTTTGTAAGGACACGTATATCAATTTCAATAGGTTCAATGGTATACTAACAATAACAGTACTAAATTATCAAATTTTATCGAAAATAGGTGAACCTTTTTTGTTTTGATAAATAAAATAAATTATTTCATTGATTTATTTGAGATGCCCTGTAAAAGTAATTCTATTAAAAATATAGGGTTCAATTTTTATAAAATACAACATTGGTGGTCTATAAAATACGGCCTTCGTTCATATTGCTAACATAAAATTTTAAAAATCTGGATGTCTGGGGCAAAAGAGCGAATTAATAAACCAAAGTCTAGAAGAATGATAAGGAATGATATTTATATAACTATTATTGGCATTTAAAAAATATACAAACCCCGCGATTTATTTTAAACGTCTGTCTGTCTAACTATTATCTAAATGTCATAAATTAGCATAGCGATTTAAGCTGCTTTTTTTTTTCATTTTATTATAGAACGTTTGTACATTCTAAAGGCCATATTTTGATTAGATTATTTATTTTATCAATCAAAACAAAAACAGTTCACATATTTTCGACAAAATTTAAAAATATAGTATTGTTATTATTAGTATTACATTGAATCTATTTAAATATACGTGTCCTTACTATAATATTGATAACATGATAACCTCATTACAAAATTTGGTTAGCAAAAGGCTCACTTGAAACACCCACAGCATGCCTCTTTATCCATCCACACATATCTTTGGTTTAACTTAACTAAAAAAATAAAATTCACAAAATCTAATTTATCATTTTTCTAACAAACTGGATTTGTTCTAATGTACTTCAAAGGCGAGCGAGGTTCTGTGTTTTCTTAGTGAAGACCATTTCAAATAATTATTTGTTTAAGTGGAACTAGAAAGTAGTAAAATAAAAATATTTTATTTAATACTTTTAATGACTAAATTATTTCCTTCTATACCTAGAAATTATAAAACGACAGTTGAGACGACACAGTTTTAAATTAATCAACACACGTTAAGCAATATACAGTCATTTAAGAATTTTTATCTTAATCCTCAATAAAAGGTAATCAACGAAAAGTATGTCGATGCTTTCTAATATCTGGCATAAGATGGCTGCTGCTGCTGCACTGGATAATACATAGGACTTGTTGGTGGACTCCTTCCATCATAGGCAACAGGTCTTGGATTATTACTCCAAAAATTATCATTATTATTATAGGGTGCAGACTGATTCGACCAGTTATTCTGATTTGCCCCGTTACTCCGATTGGTAGACGACTGAAGAGTCGCTCGAGGAATTTGTGGATCTGCGCTTCTACAATTCAAAGACATTAAAATACATCCACACGAATAAAAAAATCACTCACAGCAAACTTCTGCTCAAATTTTTTCCCTGAAACATACACAAAGACAAGTTGGATTAATTTAATTTTTAACAATAGTAGTTACTTACAGACTGGATGGTCCTAATGATTTTGTAGAAAACATAAACGAAAATAACATTAATAATCCACAAGAAAAATCCTTTCGCAGCTATAACAAGTACGGGAATGTATACATCAGTACACCTATAGGGTAGTGAACAATTTTCATGATAATCAACTCCAAGCAGCACTACTAGTAACAAATCAATGCAGGCAATTAAAAATGTTATTACTGCCCAGCACTTGAATAAGTTAAGACAGTTACTGTGGGTTTTATTTATTACTGAAAAAAGTGGGTCAAACGACAAACACTTCAAACTATTTTGTACTTACTGCGTAACTGCAAAATAGAAACGACTGTCCAAATGCTATCAGTAATCAAATACACCCACATAAATACAGTAAAACCGTTAGAACTTATAGGCCCTGAGTTTCCTAAAAAATAAGATAAAACAATATGTAAAATATGTACAGGCGAAACAATAACAACCATTCAGAAAAATTCTAAAAACGTCGCGATTGAAGATATCCAGGGTTGTTTGCTGAGGAAGATCGGGAGGTCCACTTTTGCTCTCTAAATATACTACAATACAGATTATCGACATAACAAGCCAAGCTGTCCCCTGAAGCTACAAAATTTACGTATAATTTAAATTAAAAAAATATGATAATAAAGCACTTACTATTCCTAAAACAGAGGCAACGGTTGCTAGTCTGTATTGAGGCTTTGTTAGTTTCGTCATTTTCACTCAATTTTGTTGTGACAAATGAATTTTATGAACCTATTTTGTAATCTCCCTTCGTAATACCCGCTCCGGTGATAGATAAGGATAAGCTTAAAAAACAATTTAGCGGTTGAGCAGGAACTAAACGCAGAGTTTATCACAGAAAAACTACTAAGTAGGCATGTGTGTCGCTAGAATGGTGAAAATATACACAGTGTATCAAAAGAGGACACACAGTTTAAGTGATGATACTACAGCGAAAATAATTAGACTCAGGAAGCTCCGTGGACAATTTTCTTACTTTTCTTACATTCCACCTGTTATTTTTTTTTATTAATAAAACAAGCTGTAATTTTTAATAAACTAAAAAAATACACTTGAAAAATCGAATAATCGAGAAATCAAAACATTAAGGAAAACCAAAAAATTAACGGAAAATCTAGAACTTAAAAATTGAAAAATTAAAATACCTTCAAGAACCGAAACATTGCAAAATGTCAGAACTGAAATACTGAAAAACTGTAAAATGAAAGGAAAATTGAAAAATCGAAAAAGTGAAAAAATTCAAAACTGAAATCTTGAAAAACTGAAAAATGGAAAGAAAATTGAAGAATCGGAAAAGTGAAAAAATCCAAAACTGAAACATTGAAAAATCCAGAAATCGAAAAATTTAAAAATCGCAATTGAAGAAAGAATTGAAAAATCGAGAAATGGAGAAATAGAAAAATCAAAAAATCAGTTAATCGAAAAATTGAAAAATCGAAAAATTTAGAAACGTCAAAAATTGAAAACTGAAAAATAAAAAAAATTAAAAATCGTAAAACTGAAATATCGTAAAGTTAATAAATTGAAAAACTGAAAATTTTTGAAAAAAAAAATCGTATCAAAAACTAAAAATTCAAAAAATCGAGAAACTGAACAATCAAAAAATCAAAACATTGCAATCCCAGTAAGTTGATAAATAGGAAAATTTGAAAAACAAAAATTTTAAAAATCCAAGAATTGAACAATAAAAAAAATCTAAGCCTGAAAACTCAGAAAATTGAATGATCAAGAACAAAAAATCTAAAATTTAAAAATTCGACAAATTGAAAAATCATGGAACTGAAAAATCGAAAAGTCGAGATAGAAATCTAAAAACCTAAAACTTTAAAAACTGAAAAATTAAAATATCGAAAAATTTAAAAACCGAGAAAACACAATATCAAAAATTTGAAAAATTGAAGAAACGAAATATTGCAAAATTCCAAAGCTGAAATACTGGAAAATCTAAAAATGGAAGGAAAATTAAATAATCGAAACAGTGAAAAAATCCCAAACTAAAACATCGAAAAATTGAGAAAAGGAAAAATGGCAAAATCAAAAAAATTGGTCTGATGAGTTTAAACAGTACTCCCCTCGCTATCGGAAACGTGACGACTGCATGCCTATTATGTTTTTTTTTTCACATTAGATTTCAAAGCATTCGGTTTTGTAGTTCCTGATTAAATTAATAAAATAAATTGGCGCATTTATTAAATTTTTTGAGTCACCCTGTATATCCGAATCCAATCAATATGATGGAATGATAAATTACAACAAGAGACTCATCATATTTTGCAAATTTTAAACAGGATTATCGGCAAACTTTTGAGCTGACGTTATCAATTTTTTGGAGGGGATAAGCAAATATATTTTGACTAAAAATTTATTATGCTCTTTATAACCTTAAAACATTTGCAAGATTTCAAAGCATTGGGTTCTGTAATAAATCAATAAAATAAATTTACGCATTCATTAATTTTTGGGGTCATCCTGTATATGCAAATCCAAAAAACATGAATGGAATGATAAATCACAAGAAGAGACTCATCATATTTTATACAATTTAGATAGGATTTATTCAGCAAAATTTTGAGGTGAATAAATCAATTTTTTAGAGGGGATAAGTAAATATATTGTGATTAAAACGGTCCTGGTTTAATAACAAAAAAATATTGTTCGTCTATAAAACAAGCTCGTCTTAGACAAAGTATTCGTAAAAAAATATGTCGTAAAAAAATTTACGTATACTGGTCCCGACTGCGATTATAGTTTAAATATTTTTTAGAAAATCCTGTCATGGATGTAGAAACATTTGTGACAGCCAAAGAGGTTTTTTTGGGAAAATTATCTTTGAATTTAGACCAAATTGAAATAGACATTAGACAACAGGCACATTTGGTCAAAGAAAGAGAAATTAGGGTTACGGCTTCAAAGTTTGGACGTATTTACAAACTTAGACCGACTACAGCAATAGCTAAAACTGTGGAGTCTCTGTTGTACAGTACATTTAGAGGTAATATCCATACATACTATGAACAGCAAAGTGAGGAAAAAGCTGTCTAGTGTTTTGAAATAAATAAAAATATAAAAACTGGCTTGTTTATTTCAAAACAATGTCCTTACTTGGCTGCTAGTCCAGACAGGGTTCTAGAGGATAGAAGTGCATTAGTCGAAATTAAATGCCCTTCAAAATCGCAAGATTTGTCCCCTGAAGAAGCGGTTAGAAAAAAAATAATCAAATTTTGTACATTGACAGACAGAGAATTGAAACTAAAAAAAAATCATGATTACTACTTTCAAGTCCAGGGACAAATGCTTGTTACGGGTATTTCACAAGTTTATTTTGTTTTATGGACACCCAAAGGAATAAATATAGAAAAAAATTTATAAAGACGAAGAAATATATGTAAAAAGATGGCAGATAAAATTGGCAGATTTTACTTTGGCGCATTATTGCCCGAAATAATTGATTCAAGAAGAAAGAGGAACCTGCCTTTGCGAGAGATTTTTTTAAAATAAATAAAATTTGTTTCTATTTTTTTATGTACTTTAATAATTTATTAGGAGTACATTTTTCATCACCGAGACTTGCATATTTTTATTATAAATATATTTTGAAAATGATCTCTCGGCAAATGAAAACATATACGAGCACTTTTTTCGAGTAAACAATGAAGGGAGAAGTTACTGGGCGTAGGGCTTTTTTAAAACACCTCCTTTCTGGGATAAGTGGTAGATACACTTAGCCACTTATACGTGTTAAACAAAAGCTGTATTTTATAATTTTTTATTAAGACCCACCACTGACCCGGAAATGACCGGCATTCAGGCAAGACTTCTATCATTACGGGTACTAAGACCAAGTAATGATATGCATTGATTAGATTAACAGAACAACTTTCGAGATTCTAGAATTACAGCATACAAATTAGTCTGCTATTATTCTCTAATCTCACCCCATCCCCAAAAGTCTAGCCTAACTACCGACCATTTATCCGCGCATCACATGAAAAGTGACCTACACTATTCTGACCTACTGGTGCTAATCTAATCTGACTGACATGATCAGACTGTTCAAGAAACTTACGAACAATATGACATGTTCCTAACAAAACAGCTTTTTGAATTTTGACAATTATTGAATCATTCAAATGCAAAGACTTTAAATTCTCAACTAAGCTATTTGGAACTACACCTACATTAGAGATAACTAGGGGTAGAATTGAAATTTTTTTAAGATTTAACATGGATTTCATTTCTATCGATAATTGTAGATATTTGGAAATCTTGGTGTCGTATGTTTGAATAATGTTGTTTGTGTTGGGAATAGCAATGTCAATGAGAATGGCTTCGTTCGTGTGTTTTTTGATAAGTATGATGTCTGGTCTGTTAGCTGTAATGTTTAAGGGGCCAATTCCAAGTTGGTGGCGCAAGTCACTGGTGCAGCGCAACTTTATAATGCTAATTTGGGTATCAAATGCTGGTTGCTAGGGGTGACGGAATCAACAAACGCAGTTGTGTCGAATTTTCCATTGAAATTTGCACCATGGAGTTGCGGCACCTCTAGTAGGCAGTGCAAGTTGGCGCAATTTATCTCGAAAAATTGCGTTTGTTTATTCCGTCACCCCTAGCAACCAGCATTTGATACCCAAATTAGCGTTATAAAGTTGCGCTGCACCAGTGACTTGCGCCACCAACTTGGAATTGGCCCCTAAGGGGCCAATTCCAAGTTGTCGGCGCAAATCACTGGTGCAGCGCAACTTTATAATGCTAATTTGGGTATCAAAGCCTGGTTGCTAGGGGTGACGGAATAAACAAGCGCAATTTTTCGAGATAAATTGCGCCAACTTGCACTGCCTACTAGAGGTGCCGCAACTCCATGGTGCAAATTTCAATGGAAAATTCGAAAAATTGCGCTTGTTTATTCCGTCACCCCTAGCAACCAGCATTTGATACCCAAATTAGCATTATAAAGTTGCGCTGCACCAGTGACTTGCGCCACCAACTTGGAATTGGCCCCTCAGGGGTCAATTCCAAGTTGGTGGCGCAAGTCAGTGGTGCAGCGCAACTTTATAATGCTAATTTGGGTATCAAATGCTGGTTGCTAGGGGTGACGGAATAAACAAGCGCAATTTTTCGAGATAAATTGAAATTTTCCATTGAAATTTGCACCATGGAGTTGCGGCACCTCTAGTAGGCAGTGCAAGTTGGCGCAATTTATCTCGAAAAATTGCGCTTGTTTATTCCGTCACCCCTAGCAACCAGCATTTGATACCCAAATTAGCATTATAAAGTTGCGCTGCACCACTGACTTGCGCCACCAACTTGGAATTGACCCCTCAGTCTGTAAGTATTGTGCGATCCCAGTATAATTTGTATTTGTTATTTTCAAGGAATGGAGACGGAATGTAAGTGTAATAGGGTGTCGTATCTTCGATTAAGTTCATAAGTGTTGCTAATTCTTTGTGAATGATTTTGGCTGCGTTGTCGTGTCTAGCTTTGTAATCAGTTTGTGCTAGGATGCTGCAAGAAGAGATTATGTGCTGGATCGTTTCAGGTTTTGCTTTCCATAGGCGACAGCAGTCGTTTTTTATGTTCGGATCTTTGATGTATTTTCTATAATTCTTGGTATTGATTACTTGGTCTTGAATAGCAAACACAAATCCTTCTGTTTCGGCATACAAACTTGATTTTTTTAACCAAATCAATGACATCTTCTTATTGACATGATTTTCTTCTAAGTCTTTGTAGAATTTTCCATGTAGTTGTTTTTGTTTTAGCCCACTTATTATTTTATCTATTGTGTGGGGGGTGTGGATTTTTTCGGTGTTCGACAGATTTAAGGGTGTGTGGTTCAAATCTGCTCTTGTGATGGTGCGAAACATTTCATTTCTTTCCGCTCGTTTCAAGAAATACTTCTTCAAATCTGAGATTTGTCTCTGATATAAGTTTTCTAAGTTCTGGAAACCCCTTCCTCCATTCTGTCTTGGTAATGAGAATCTTTCAATCGATGATTTTGGGTGATGCCTTCTATACTGTGTGAAGATTTTCCTTGTTGCGATGTTTAAATTTTCAAGATCAGTTTTGGACCATTTAATGACTCCAAAAGAATATGTTAGCAGTGGAACGCAGAATGTATTTACTGCTTTCATTAAATTTTTTCCATTTAACTGTGTCTTCAATATTAATTTTAATCTCGCTACGTATTGATCTTTCAACTGTGTTTTCGTTTTGGTATGATTGATGTGGGAGGATTGACAGAAACCCAGATATTTGTATGTATCGTTTCGTTCTTGGGCTTCAATTATTTCCTTATTCTGTGTTATATGTGGTACTTGGTGAAACACGCCTTTTCTGATTGCTTGGGTCTTACATTTCTCAATACCAAAGGACATACCAATATCACCGGAAAATTGTTCAGTCAGATTTAATAGGTTTGTTAACTGATTTTGTGTACTTGCATATATTTTTATGTCATCCATATACAGCAAGTGACTTATTCTGTTTTCTCTTTGTTTGTTAATTCTTATATTGAACCCATAATTGCAGCTGTTCAGGATATCGGAGAGGGGATTTATTGCTAAGCAGAACCATAACGGGCTAAGAGAATCGCCTTGAAAAATTCCTCTTCGGATCATTATTGGGTCTGACTGAATTGTTTGTTCATTTAAGGTTATTTGGAGGGTGGTCTTCCAAAATTCCATGGAACATTTGAGAAAAGTGCAGATTTTAGTATCAATCTTGTATAATTCCAGAATTTTGCATAACCAGGAATGAGGGACAGAATCGTAAGCTTTCTTATAATCAATAAAAGCAGTATATATGTTTCGGTTTTCTTTTCTAGCTTGTTCACAGATGATGGAATCTATGATTAATTGCTCTTTGCAGCCAAAGGATCCTTTAATACATCCTTTCTGTTCTTCATTAATGATGTCAGAGTTAAAACAGTGTTGATATATTTTTTGTGTAATGCATGAGGTTAATATTTTATAGATTGTCGGTAAACATGTGATAGGTCTGTATTTTGATGGATTTTTTGTGTCGTTATCTTTAGGTTTTAAGTATGTTACACCATGACATAAGAATGTTGGAAAAGATGATGGGTCAAGAAGGAACTGATTTAAGTGATGTAGTAAATGAATATGTACACAATTTAATTTTTTTATCCAAAAATTATGGATTTTGTCTGGTCCTGGTGATTTCCAGTTGTGTGTCTTATTGATGGTATTTATTAATTCGGCAAGTGTTATCTGATGATCATTCATTGGTGTAACTGTGGATAGTTTATTATATATATGAGGAATCCATTTGGCAGATTGGTTAAATTCAAATTCTTGAGACCAAAGTTTTGACCAAAATGTTGTTACATCTTGTGAACTTGGTAGTTCACCGGATAATTGAGTTTTGCTTGAATTAGTTAAATGTTGATAGAATAGTTTTTCGTTGTTTAAAAATTTAGTGTTATGAATTTTTCTGAGATGTGATTGTTTGTATCTTTTAAGTCTTTTGCTATATAAGGAAAGCTTTTGTAATAGTGTATCTTTAATTTCGGATAGTGTTGTGTTGTACTCATCGTAATCAGTTTGATGAAAATTATTGTTGGTCAGTATCGAATGCATACATGTCATGATGTGTGGTGTTTTAACTCCTCTAAGGTACTGTGTTATTTGACCTAGTTGTTTTCTAATGTTATTAATTTTATAATTTAACCGTGTTTCCCAATGAGGGGTGGAGGGTATGCGATTGTTGTTTGTATTTATTATGTTATCTTTACATGTGTTAATTTGAATACAAGTTAAAGCTGCACAGTAGATAATTGTATGAAGTTTTTCAAAAGAGATCGAGTTTGTGAGATATTTTGGTAAAATGAAGGAGTTCATTATTTCTACAATTGCCAGAAACTTTTTAGAATAACACTGGCGGGGAAGTGATTGTCTATCATTTGGTTTTAATTTAGAACATGTTTCGAAAGTTAATTTAAATTGGTCTTCAATTTCATTTTGGAAATTAATGTGAAATTTAAAATTTTTGTTGACAGTTTTGATTAATGTGTCTTCTGTGTTGTAGTACGTGTTTTGTAGATTATCTGTGATGTTAATTTGGTTTTGGATTGTTCTTGATGAATTGTTAAGTGATTTGTCAGTTAATGTGTTGGTAATTTGTGTTACGGTTGTGATCTTATTTTGAGGTGTTTTGTTTAATAAATCTTTAGTAAATCTGTCAGTTCGTGTCTCTGGTGTATTTAATATACTACTATTACTATTTTGTGGTATAATTGGGATCTTATTTTGAGATGTTGTTTTTGACAAATTGGTGACAGATGTGTCAGTCAGTAATGTATTTGGTACTGTGTTGTTGATATCTTCAGGAAGTGGATTAATGGTTTTAGAAAGTTCATTTTTTAATTGTTCTAGAGTAAGTTGAGGTATGTAGTTATTTTTAACTATAGCTCTACGTTGATCTGCTAAATTTTGAATGGTAACTGGAAAATTTGGGTACTCACGGCTGAAGGCTTCGTGTAGAGCTGTACGATAATTACTTACATCAGTTTCATTGTTTGTAATTTTATAATATAAGCGCATAATATGTAAATTCATGTCTAGAGACCATTTTTTACGCTTTTTCGGTTCTTCTCGTCTTCTAATGGTCTGAGGCTGATTTGTCTGAGAAACATTAGAGACTAATACGTTGTTAATTGTCCTTGTGGTAGTGTTTCCCGAGGTGATGCCACGTGCTCCATCGACCTCTTCGGAGACTGCAGTAATAGGTGTTCGTCGGATTTCGAGTTGATTTTTATTATTATTATTATAAATAAGTTTATTAGTTTTATTAATTAACAAAGCAAAATATATATTAACAATAATATTACAATGAATTTTTAGTAATCATGTGTATTGAATTCAGGATCCTGAGTGGAGTAAAAATATTATAGTTCCCCAGTTTTAATCGGTTTTATGATAGTACCTCATTGCTAAAATTTAAATTCCTTAACAATAGATTACTACGGCCGGTCCTGGCGGCTTGTTATAAAACTGAGTTCCTTGCCATAAATTAGAAAAATCAGCCGAGAACTCTAACAATCAGCTTATGGTAGAGCAGGCGATAAGGGTTTTACCTCGGAAGTCCCTTCCGTAAATTTTAGTGGCGCTCCTATCGGCAAAGTACTGAACTAACTGCTGAAATTCTGTCGAATTGATACCCATTTTTTTCAATAATTGTTAGTTTTTGTTAAAAACTCTGCTAACCAATAGATCATTAATTTTCCTCTGATATTCCTTTTAAAATTATTCGACGTATTTTGCATTAATTTGTGGTATATTTTGATTTTAATAAACACATTATTATTTAAACAAATTGTACCACTAACAAACATTTAGTGACTCTGCGCCCTGTAAAAAGTGATATTTTATCCATGTGCCAATTTTCAAGCGATTCTATGATGGTTATGACTCAAAAAACTTAAAAAGAAAACATACAGTGGTGATTTTTTTACGATATTTCTCAGCCATATTTTTTTAGTTGATTGAACTGGTCTCTGCACTCTAGAATATTGACTTAAGAATTTTGTATAATGTGGTTCGCCCTCCTTTAAATTCCAACTGTTCCCTATAATATATATGCCAAAAGAGTATCTACAGTAAAATATTCGTTTTTTTCATTAAGTTGCCAAATTTGTTGTTGGATGTCTTTCCGAAACATATAATTTGTAAATAAATCCGTTGGTTTTCGCTTGCCAGATAGTGATGTTTTTAAATTTTGGTCCCCTGTTGATAAAATTTTCGCCACAGTTGATGTTCCCACCTATGAGAAAAAAAATTAAAAAATATTTTTCAGCGTATTTTTACATTACAGAAAATATGTTCGAGACCCTCATAGTTACTACTTCGAAAGAAAAATCGGGCCTGTCTTTTCGAAACTCCAAAAAACATCTTTTTATCGCAATTTTTTGTTGCAGTAAAACTATTTTAGGCATTTTTTTTTTAAATAATGTCGCAATGATCTGGGAATCTGTCACAATGACAAATTATCTATGCCGACAAAATTAAAACATTTGTGTGCCTGATTAAAAATTGCGTCTAATAATTTTGATCGAATAAATGAAGTAGAAAAGTGGCAATCGAGCTCAAAGCAAATGTCAATCAGACTACTGACAGATAAAAAACTAAATCATCAAATCAGTTTATCCAACTTAAAGAAAAAATATCAAAGCCTACTTTACTATATAATGATCGTGAATGGATAATAGATATAATTATACCTACGAAGAAAATAAAGGGTGGGTGGGCGGGGCTAGTGTCTGCTAAGATAAGAGCGATTTTGGCAAATGAGATTATATTTTGTTTACTGTTCTCGAAATCTACTTTAAAATCTATATGTATATGATAAATAAAAAACTAGTACGTCCATCATATTATTAAAAAATCGCATAAAATAGTAGACAAACACATTTCAGCTTTGGCATATAATGATACAGCTAATATCTATATCGTCCATCTAAAGTGTCTGAAGTGGGGCTATCGACGGAAGCTTGAACTGCCATAACAACTATAGTCTCTTCTACAATCAGTGTATTCACAGGAGGAGGTGGAGGTTCCGGGCTATATATCGTAACGGGCGTGACAGTCCTTAAAATAAAATGAAAAAAAAAAAATACAAATAAACCCTTTCCAAAAACAAGAGCAAAAAATTTAAAACGTTTGATGTTAACTCAACGAAGGCTATTTTAACTGATTTTGTAACTTTTATGAACGACTTGAGATTAACCCCCTGTATACTTTATCTGTCACTTACCAAGTTTGCAAACCCACTTCTAATATCTCCTGTAACACAAAACATAATACAGTAAATTTAAATATCTTGTTGTTAATTTTTACCATTTGTAACTTCGTAGCTATATGTCTTAGCATGTAAACAAAAATTACGTTCAGTACCCACAGAACAAACACTTTGGCACTAATTATTAACACCGGAATGAGCGCTTTGTCGCAAAGCTCTGTATTAAGCTCCCATTCAGAGTTAACACAAGTTTCATTATAATCTATTCCAAGAGAAACCACAAAAATGACATCAAGTACTGAGACGATTACTGTGGCAGCAATGAAAGACCGTATCGACTTATACAACCCCTTAGAGTTTGTAGAAAAATCTAAAATTATTTTTTAGATAATTTTTGTAATGTATTTGATAACTTACCAATAATTTGATTTACAGAAACGGCAAACCAGAGAACATCAATGAAGATGTACACCCAGTTATAGGCAGCAAAAGCTGCAGGTTCGATGATTACGTCGTCTGAAGAATAATGCCAGTAGAAAAAATTGGGATCTAAAAATTTCACGTAGATAGCTTCAAGAATAGATAAGGAACGTGATGTAATGGTTATGTCTTTGTAATAATAGATTAGGCAGAGTAGTGAAAGTATGAACCATATTATTGCTTGCAGCTAAAAATAAAGTTTTAGTTAGTTAGTACAGAAACTTATTTTGATTCCTACAGTTCCCAAAACTCCTGATATATAACCTATAGCTTTCTGGTAGTTGGACAGAGGCATTGTAGACAGAACTATATCACAGCACCAGTTTCGACTAATTGATACATAATTACTGTAAAATGACGTTTTCCACGATGTTGATTGATTGATAAGAGAGATAAGTGGATTTTCAATTTTCCAGAATTTTTTAATCCTGGTTTACTTGCATACAGTGCACAAATATGTCAAGGCAGTGTAAGACTCGTGGATTTAGATTTTTTGACAGGGAAATAATCCTAGATTATGTGTAATAAATAATTGGAAAAAAGTGGTACAATGGACTTGCATATGGCATCAAAATGTGCACACTATATTTTCATCTATTAAATATACTTGAGGTCACATTTCCGACAATAAAATGAGTCATTTCAGATAAACGTCAAGAAAATAAAAAGATAAAATCGTTATCTAGCGGTATGCTTTGTTTACGATATTGTCTGATATATTTCTAACCGTAAAATTTGCCAAAATTACTTCGTTCCACATTTTATGTGACTTTAAAAAGTTTAAAAGTTTAAGTGCTATGAAAATGACAACACATTAAACTGTAATAACTTTCAAATTTATATCTTCCAGATGTTCAGAAATTCGTCGAATCTGTTATCATAACTAACGATAAAACACATTCCTTAGATTTATCAGTTGGGTTTAACAAAGCAATGTTCGAAAAATATTTAATCACGTTATTAATTACGATAAATTTCAATGAAACAATATTTGTATTTATAGCACATGATTCTTTGGTAGAAGACAAAAAAAATGTTTGTGTTCTGGAAAACTCTGAAACTTATTAATTGTTATCTATAAATGATATAGTCTTTTGATTACTCCTATTAATGAATTAATGTGTAACTGTTACAAAATTGGTGGATGCGCCGGGTTTCAGATTAATTTTTTTTTATTTTATGTATTAAAAAGCTTGAATAACTAGAAGCATCGCACAATATAGAACTCTATTTTGATGATGAGTTTAATTATCTGACATTGGTTTATCTAATCTTTAATGCTTTCACTTTTGATCTCTTATCTTGCACACAAGTATTCCAGGAATCTATGTAAATTAATAAAACCACTAAATTACTCATTACTGTTTTTATTGTATTATTAAATTGTGTTAGCAAATCAAAATAAAAAGTTATCGAAGAACAAAGTCCCGTTTATTATTATTTTTATTTTTATTTTCAATCACTAGCTTTCTAAGTCTAATAATAATTTTTGTTTCATATTAATGATAATACAATTTATCTCATTCTTAATAATATCATCAGAGTTCGTTACGTCAAAGTAGTTGAAAAGCTCTGATATTAATGAAGTATTTTTAAATAATGACGGCTTGCACTTCCAAAGTACCTGTAATAGTTATTTGTGTTATAAAGATCGTAGCGTCAGCCGAGAGTGACAACACGATCGGTATCATAATGAGCGCTACCAATCAAAGTTCGTACAAAAATGTATTACTAGCTTAAATTAATAATTGAACTAAATTTTAAAGCAATCAAGTCAAAGTACGCTTTTTGACAGTTGCCTTAGTAACGAATTACTTATTTAAAATAAATACATAAACGCTATCGGTGCTTGAAACTGCATTCAATTGTTATGGAAAGTGGTGCACTTATAACGAAAATAACAATCTTCAAAAGTTAAGTAGACAGAGATATAGAATTGGATATCCTGGCCACTGTTTCAGGAGGTCTTCTGCTTCCTTGGTGACAGTTAAATTAAAATTTTCTGAATTTCCAAATTTATTAATAAAAATTGGGTTTTCTTTTGCTTTATCTCACGTCATAGATATTTTACGATCGATTAAAATCTAGTCGTAATCTTATAACAATAATATCGAGTGATTATTTAATTTCTGCTCTAATTGGCGATGACGCTTACATCAACAATTTCAACTGCATTGCTGACGTACGCCGCATGGTCAACGAAAATTATTTTTTTTTTAATAAAGAAATATTTCTTGACACTCTTCGTCTTTGAGATAAAAATATTTAAATGAAAACGATTAATTTAATTGAAGGAATAAACGTTAATACAGTAAAAAATGAAAAATAGAATCAGTACTATTTTATTTTTAAAATAAAAATGAGAAAAAAAATTAAATTAATTCTGAAATAATAATTTCAGGAAAAGTTGCCACGCTGGCAAGCGTTATGTTAGAATAAAATGTTGCTATAAACTTTGTTTTTTTTTGCGAAAATGTGGATATCTAAAAGAAAAGCGTAAGGCGGAGTCATAAATTACAGGTATAAGAGAATTTTATAAAATTTAAATAGTGATCGAGTAGGTTTGTTTGCAGGAATCTTGAATGTACATATCAGGTAAAGTAGGAAACTGTAATATAGATTATAGATAACAGGTAACTTTATTTTTGGTAACGATATTAGCAGCACTTTTGTGTACTGTTCTTGAAGCTATTTGAAAGAATCTCGAAGACCACATGTGTTTTGTTTTTTGAAGTAGTTTCAAAAAATCTCGGGGACCCCTTGCCTCTGGTTTTTCAAGTAAGTAGTTTGAAAAACTTTCAGTAAAACTCCTTGCTTCAATAAAAAATCTAAAAAAGGATAAATGAATCATAAACATTAATGAAAATAAACATTTTACAACTCTTGTTTTGTTTTTGAAGTATTTTGAAAGAACCTCGGAGACCTCTTGCACCTGGTTTTTCAAGTAGTTTGAAAAAAACTCTGATACCTCTTGCGTCTGGTTTTTAAAGTACCTAGTTTGAGAGAATCTCGGGAACCTATTCTGTTTTGGTTTTGAAGTAAGTAGTTTAAAATTTTGTTGTGTTTTTGACATAGTTTGAAAATATTTCGAGTACCTTTGGTGTCTCGTTTTTGAAGTAGTTTGAAACAATCTCGAGCATACCTTATGTTTTGGTTTTGAAGCAGTTTGGAAGAATCTCGGGGATCACTTGTATTTAGTTTTTGAAGTAGTTTGAAAGAATCTCTGGAAATTCTTTTATGCCTGGTTTTTGAAGTAGTTTGAAATAATCTCGGGGACCCTTTCTGTTTGGTTTTAAAGTACATAATTTGAAAAAATCTCGGGGAACCTTGTAACTGGTGTTTGAAATCGTTTAAAAGAATCTCGAATCTCCTGTGCCTGTTTTTTTAAATACTTTCAAAAATCTCGGAGGGCCTGTATGTTTTGTTTTTGAAGTACTTTGAAAGAATCTCGGAGACCCGTTGCAACTGGTTTTTCAAGTACTTTGAAAAAACCTCAGATACTTCTTGCGTCCGGTTTTCGAAGTACATATGTAGTTTGAAAAAATTTCGGGAACCCATTCTGTTTTGGTTTTGAAGTGGTTTGATTTTTTTTTTGATTTTGAAGTAATTTAAAGATATTTCGAGGACCTTTGGTGTCTGGTTTTTGAAGTAATTTGAAAGAATCTCAGGGATCCCTTCTGTTTTGGTTTTGAAGCTGTTTGGAAGAATATCGGGAACCCCATGTAATTTACTTTTGAAGTAGTTCGAAATTTTGTTTTCTTTTTGAAGTAGTTTGAACGTATTTCTAAGGCCTTTGGTGTCTAGTTTTTGAAGTAGTTTGAAAAAATATCGGAGGCCCCTTGCACTTGGTTTTTGAAGTAGTTTGAAAAAAACTTCTGATACTTCTTGTGTCTGGTTTTTGAAGTACATAGTTTGAAAGAAACTCGGGAACTCATTTTGTTTTGGTTTTGAAGTAGTTTGAAATTTCGTTTTATTTTTAAAGTAGTTTGAAAGCATTTCGACGACATTTGGTGTCTGGTTTTTGAAGTAGTATGAGAGAATCTCGAGGATACCTTCTGTTTTCGTTTTGAAGCAGTTTGGAAGAATCTCGGGGATCATTTGTATTTAGATTTTCAAGTAGTTACAAAGAATCCGGGAACTTTTTTTGTCTGGTTTTTGAAGTAGTTTGAAATAATCTCGGAGGCCCTTTCTGTTTGCTTTTGAGGTACATAGTTTGAAAGACTCTTGGAGACCCTTGTTTTGTGTTTGAAATCGTTTCAACGAATCTTGAATCTGTTGTGCCCCGTTTTTGAAATGGTTTCAAAAAATCTCGGGGAGCTTGCTTGTTTTGTTTTTGAAGTAGTTTGAAATCATCTAGGAGATCCCTTGTGTTTAGTTTTGAAGTACATAATTTGAAAGAATCTCGGGGGACCTTTGTCTCTGATTTTTGAAAAAGTGTGAAAGAATCGCGGGGACCTCTTTTGGTTTGTTTTTGAAGAAATTTAAAGGAATTTCGAGAACCTCTTGCCTTTTGTTTTTGAAGTAATTTAAAAGAATCTCGGGGAGCACTTGTCTGATTTTTGAAGGAGTTTGAAAGAATCTCGGGAACCCCATATGTTTTGGTTTTCAAGTAGTTTGAAAGAATCTCAGGGCCCCTCGTGTCTGGTGTTTGAAGTATTTTGAAAGAATCTTGGATCTCTTGTGTATGTTTTTTGAAGTAGTTTGAAAGAATCTCGGGCACACCTTCTGTTTTGGTTTTGAAGCAGTTTGGAAGAATCTCGGGAATTACTTGTGTATAGTTTCTGAAGTACTCGTATTTTGAAAGAATCTCGGGAAATCCTTATGCCTGGTTTTTCAAGTAATTTGAAATAATCTCGGGGACCCTTTTTGTTTGGTTTTGAAGTACATAATTTGAAAGAATCTCGGGGAACCTTGTACCTGGTGTTTGAAATGGTTTGAAAGAATCTAGAATCTCCTGGGCTTGGTTTTTGAAATAGTTTCAAAAATCTCGGCGAGCCTGTCTGTTTTGTTTTTGAAGTACTTTGAAAGAATCTCGGAGACTCCTTGCACCTGGTTTTTCAAGTACTTTGAAATAACCTCAGATACATCTTGTGTTTGGTTTTTGAAGTACATAGTTTGAAAGAATGTCGGGAACCCATTCTGTTTTGGTTGTGAAGTGGTTTGAATTTTTTTTGTTTTTGAAGTAATTTAAAAGTATTTCGAGGACCTTTGGTGTCTGGTTTTTGAAGTAGTTTGAAAGAATCTTGGGGATAGCTTCTGTTTTGGTTTTGAAGCTGTTTGGAAGAATCTCGGGGATCACTTGTGTTTAGTTTTTCAAGTAATTTGAAAGAATGTCGAGAACCCCATGTATTTTGGTTTTGAAGTAGTTCGAAATTTTGTTTTGTTTTTGAAGTAGTTTGAAAGTATTTCGAGGACCTTTGGTGTCTAGTTTTTGAAGTAGTTTGAAAGAATCTCGGGAAATTCTTATGCCTGGCTTTTGAAGTAGTTTGAAATAATCTCGGGGACCCTTTCTGTTTGGTTTTGAAATACATAATTTGAAAGAATCTTGGGGACCCTTGTACCTAGTGTTTAAAATGGTTTGAAAGAATCTTGAATCTCTTATCCCTTGAAATGGTTTCAAAAAATCTCGGGGAGCCTGCTTGTTTTGTTTTTGAAGTAGTTTGAAATCATCTCAGAGATCCCTTCTGTTTGGTTTTTAACTACATAATTTGAAAGAATCTCGGGGGACCTTTGTGTCTGATTTTTGAAGTAGTGTGAAAGAATTCCGGGGACCTCTTTTGGTTTGTTTTTGAAGAAATTTGAAAGAATCTTGGGAATCACCTGCCTTGTTTTTGAAATAATTTAAAAGAATCTCGAGGACCTCTTGCATTTTGTTTTTGAAGTAATTTAAAAGAATCTCGGGGAGCGCTTGTATCTGTTTTTTGAAGTAGTTTGAAAGAATCTCGGGGACCACTTGTGTCTGATTTTTGAAGTAGTTTGAAAGAATCTTGGAGACCTATTGTGAATCGTTTTTGAAGAAGTTTGAAAGAATCTCGGGAGCCTCTTGTGTCTGGTTTTTGAAATAGAGTGAAACAATCTCGGGAACCCCATGTGTTTTGGTTTTCAAGTAGTTTGAAAGAATCTCGGGGCCCCTCGTGCCTGGAGTTTGAAGTATTTTGAAACAATCTTGGATCTCTGTGTCTGATTTTTGAAGTGGTTTGAAAGAATCTCGAGCATACCTTCTCTTTTGGTTTTGAAGCAGTTTGGAAGAATTTTGCGAAATTCTTATGCCTGGTTTTTCAGATAGTTTCAAATAATCTCGGGGACCGTTTCTACTTGCTTTTGAAGTACATGGTTTGAAATAATCTCGGGGACCTCTTGTACCTGGTGTTTGAAATCGTTTGAAAGAATCTTGAATCTCTTGTGCCTGGTCTATGAAATAGTTTGAAAAAATCTCGACGAGCCTGTTTGTTTTAGTTTTGAAGTAGCTTGAAATAATCTCACAGATCCCTTCTGTTTGGTTTTGAAATACATAGTTTGAAAGAATCTCGGGAACCTCTTGTACCTGGTGTTTGAATTCTTGTGTCTGGTTTTTGAAGGCAAAAAAATCTGTTTTTCTCTTCATAGAACATTTCTTAATAAATAATTTATTGTCAAATATTATTGAAAGCTTCACTTTCTTTCCATTGAATGCACGTCTATATTTGAAATCTTGAAAAAAAATCTATGAAACTAAAGTAAATCTGCTTTGTACAAAGTCCAATTTCAAACGTAAAATAAGATATAGCTAAATTAAGCTATTATTCGCAACACACTAAGTTTAAAGGAAAGATAATCAAAGAAAATCTAAAGTTTCAAAATTTTCAAACTTTAAATATCAGAAAAATGTGAAAGGAATAGTTAACTATTATGATTATAATTTTATTGCTCTCTTGGTACATATTTCAGTTCATACTTAGTTTATTAAATAAGGTAAACCACACACCTAGATTTAACCCAGATTTGAACTCTATCCATCAAACCCAACTCTCTTTTAATCCAGCCTTTATTTACAAGTATAAAAAAGTATAAAAAAATACATCTAGGTACATTCATATGAGTTAAATAAATCACTAGCCAGCACATGATCTCAAAGTTCCGTCCCTGCAACACACCCGAAATTAAACTAAAAACAACCCCTTTCAAAGTCACAACTCACCAGAACCCGACGAATCTGACTTAACCCTCAAGTGCCTCTTCGGCAGTATGTCAAGCTCAATCCTCTCTTCCCCAGTCTCTTTTTTTTCTTGAGGTTGAGTGTACGACCACGGCAACTGCCCCCTCAACTCCTCTAAACACGCCCCAATCTCCACCACATTCTCCGCCACATCCGGAAACGCGTAATAAAAATTATTAGTAGTGGGAGAACCGACCTCGTCCTGCCCTTCTATGTCTTCTTTACTATTCGAGCCTCTATGTTTTTCTGATTCCACAGATTTCCCGCTGCGGATACTCGCTGCGTCCACAGAACCGTAGAAAATCTGCCAGTTTCTTATTCGAGCTGCAGAGGTATCAGGATCGTCGACCCGGGCTCGACGACTTGGCGATTCGGCCAAAGCGCGCGGTTGGTTAAGGGTTTCGTTCTTGTAGCTTTCTCGGTAGGCGAAAACTGTGGCCCGGGCGATGAAGAAAACGCAGATCCAGTTGGTGATCCAGATGACGATGAAGCGCGCGCTTACTGAGCCGAGGGTTAGCGATGGGGCGGCGGTGATGGATAGTGGGAGGGTTGAGAAATGTGAGAGTTGGGGCGGATCTTGGGTGATACCAACGAACTTTAACCAGTCTGAGAAGGTCTGAAAAAAATGAAACGATTAGTGTAACACGGAGCTTTTTATGAGTAGTCCTAAATTCAATATTACTTCTAAATTACATCCACCACTTCAGGTCCTGGAAAAAATAAGTCATAGTAAAGTCATGGAGTTACCCCAAGTGTAAATTTTCAGTAGGTCGTATTCTTATGTCAAATTTTGAAATTTGCCTTTTGTCCCAGTCAAAAATGAAGGGATTTAAAACAAATAATTTTACATGTGTTAGACTATCGTGATAGAAACCAAGATGTTTTGGAATTTAAGAAAAAGGAAGGCAGAACTGAAACCAGAAATGTTGAAAATTTCGAGATGATCTGTCTACAGACTACAAAAAAAGTCCAGGCTTAAGTAACTTTGAATTCAAGAAAAATATGTCTTCTAGAATTAGTCACATAAAGACAAAAGTAAATCCTGTAGATTTAATGTCAATCCGGGAGATTATCTATACAATGGTTGTTTCTAAAGAATACATTACTATTAAGTTACTGCACGATCGAGTAATGGAAGAGATTCCCGATTTTTACGTTGGTCCTGGATAAGGAAAATTGGTTTCAAATTTAAGAAAAATAGTAACAGAGTATTTTTGATGGAACGGCCTTTAGTTAAATTAAAAAGAACGTGAATACCACCAACACAAAGGAAAAAATTTATATGAACCTCTTTTTCTTGTTAAAACGTGGGTATTTAGTAAGAGTAACGGTATTATTGAAGCAGCCTCTTTAATTTTTGAACCTAATAGTAAATCTGGAGACTATCATGATAACATTATTTGTAGGAAGAAATTCCTCGAAAAAGTTGGACAAAGATAAAAATGATAGCATATTTAAATAAAAATGGGATTGATTACCCACCCAAGGTCATTAAAGACCAAATCTGGGGAATATTGGCTAACAAACAACCCCAAAAACGTTATCACTTAGATTTATACACCCAACATCATGGTCATTGGGCAGTGAGCCTGCCACCTTACCACTGTCATTTCAACGCTATTGAAATAGTATGGTCGAAAGTTAAACGAAATTATGATAAGATCATTCCAAGAAGCAGCTCTTCCCCTAATGATGTTTGTGCAACTAGGCAAAATGTGATTGATCAAGCTCCGGCTAATTACGTTAAACCTACTGATAAAATAATAAACTGCACTTGGGAAAATGAAAAAATTTTAGATACTTCAAAATAGAATGAAATTATTATTAATGTTAAAAATTCGAATGATAGTGAAAGTGGAAGTGAGAATGATAACAGTAGCCTTGAAGATTTAGATGTCGATATGTTGTAACTTGAAACTTTTTCTTTTTAAAGCTTCCATTTTTTCGTTTTTTAATGAAGTTCAATTAATTGAATAATTAAATAGTCCAGTTTATAAAAAGAAAAGTCAAAATTTACCATTTTTTAGTTGAAGGGTTTAACATAATAGCAGAATGTAATAGTTTTTGATGGTGTACTGTATTTTATTGAAAATAAAGTTGTTGTATCCAATATAACAATTGGAAATAAAAGACGTACGCTACTAGAAATAATTAATGAGTCTACGAAGTTAAAAATTCAATTTACAAAAAATGTCTCTCATTGACTTTCCTTTTTTAGTACCTGTACCTTTCAATAATTGCGAATTTGAAATTTAGATTTATCCATATCAACCTATTCGTAACATATAAGAAATCACCTACGAAAGGTTATTAAAAAATGTCACATTCCAAGTGTTTTTGACTAGGGGTATTTCCGCCATTATATGCTAATAGGCGTACTATTGCATTAGTCCCAATTTAGTTGTTGAAGTTTGAAATTTAGAACGATTGATTAACACAAAGAAAAACATATGATTAGTCATTAGGGTCATATTCCCTTTGATCTTTTTCCAAAATTACATCAATTTTTTTCTTTTCGAGTAGAATAGAGTGTTTTTTAAATATTTAAATAAGAAATTTTCTATTTTTTCAATGTCAAGGCAGGTCAAGCCAAGTCAGGTCAGGTCAGGTCAGGTCAGGTCCAGTCAAGTCAGATCCGTGGAGTATGTTTTCCAGGTACCATTGATCGAAAAAGTTCTCTCACATTTTAAATTTTGTACTATTAGATCCACCAGTGGAATGTGGTTAATTTGCTTACTGACAATTTTTTTTCACTTGATTGGTATCACTGAATCAGCGACCATCTTAGTCGTGCAAAAAATCTATTATTGGAGATAGAAAGAAGGTAACAGACTAAATTGGTACGGTTTGTTGAGCAGTAAACACTAAAATATTTTCCACTATACAGAGTGTTTTGTTTTTGAGGCATAGCACATTACTAGTTTTTTTTTATAAAACACCATGTATATTTTTACGTATCTTCATTAGCTTTTGTCTAGACTTTATATCAACTATTTATTTTTCAGCAATGTAAATATATCATAAAAAAAATGCAATAATGTTATTTTCAAGACCTGTTTTACAATATTTTGCACTTTATTGTAGTGTCAATTAAATTAAATTTTAATATAAAAAGTGTTTATAAAAAATCTAAAACGCTACAAAAAAAAAGTAAAAAGTGGCAATCACTATCAACTGTAAATATAGAAAATAATCAACGAAGAAAAAAAAGAAAAACCAAAATAAGAAGGAGTCATAACATATACCTCTCTGAAAATTGTAATATTAAAAACAAAATTTATAAAAATTCTGCATATTAAGGCTTATAGGATATTATCTTTATCAAAAAGTTGTGCATTACGCCTTAAAAACAAAACACTCCCTATAACTCGAAAATAATGTTGGTCCTCAAAAAATAGTACAATTAAAATAATATAGAAAACCTCATGTTTATTGAGTCACCTTGTATATTCAGGAAATCATCATGATATTAAAAAAATTGGTCAAAAGTTACTTCGACAGAACTTCCCTCGCTCTTGAAGTACAGTCCTACAAATTCCGCTTCTTTAAAAAATTATAAAAAACTTTTGTTTTCTGATAACATTTCTTTCCGAAGAAACGAAGCCGAAAATAACTTCTGGATATCGAAATCTACAAGATGGTTTCAACTAATTTTCGGAAATAGTTGAAAGATGATCGAAAATGTCGAAAGGGCCAAAATCAGTCTAATCTTATCAAATATGTACTAGCCCCGCCCACACACTCTCTATTTTCTTAGAGGGTACGTCATTTGCCAAAATCAGTCTTATCTTAGTAAGTACTAGCTCCGCCGACACGACCTCTATTGAAGGGTACGTATGTTATTTGTCAAAATCAGTCTTATCTTAGCAAATACTAAGTTTAACTTCCTGCAGGATCTTTTAACGCAAGCAATAGCCCCGCCCACCGACCCCCTCTTCATTCCAGTATTACCCTTAATATTGTTGAGTCACTTAGCAAAATCAATTTTATTTTAACAAATACTAGCTCCGCCCACCCACCCTCTATTTTCTTAGAGGGTGTTAGATATTTGCCAAAATCAGTTTTACTTTATCAAATAAATGTAACATATATTAAACACTAGTGGTGTAAATGACACCTCGAACCACCTGCGCCGCGGAGTGTATTATTATCAGTGTACATGCTTAACTTCGATTGTTTATGTTTATACATCGAAAGAATGTCACGTAGAAATTAGTTTGATTTGAATGAGTTGTTTCCTCAAAACAGAGATCTAAAATTTATAAATAAGCCGAAATGGAACAAAACGCTTTGAAAAATGGTTATTTTTCTAGAAATCGTTCTTAATCTGATCAATAAAAAATTGGACGAAGGCTATAAGTATAATCCAATAAATCCAGCTCTTCAAAAAAAATTATAAAATTTGATTTTACGATTTTCGTTTTCTGATAACCGCTGTAAAGTAAAAACCAGAGGCATAAATAACACCCCCACAGTCTCTGCGGCGTACAAACAATGTAGAATATTTAAAGAACGTAACTAACGTGATAAAATGACTTTCAGCACTAGATAATACCAATCTGAAGTGTTTATTTATATTTATACTTCGAGAGCATCTCACGTAGAAATTAGTTTGATTTGAATGAGTTTGTCTTCTCAAAACACAGGCTTAAAATTATTAATTAAACCACAATCGAACAAAGTATTCTGAATATTATATTATTTTATCATTATTATTATGAAGACGTGTTTTTCACATTTTGGAGAAAATAGAGTGACTGGTTTTTAATTTGACCAATAAAAAATTTGTAATGATGTCATCGACATGGATAATATTAGTCACAGCACAAGAGAAACGTTATTGAAATGACGTCAACAGTCGGATTCAGGGCCGGCTTAACACGGTAAGCGAAAGATGCACCGCATCGGGGCGCCCATGACAAGGGGCGCCGGGCGGCAGGCATTGCCTATGCTTTTGTGTTAACTCCATAGAAATAAATTAATAGGAGTATTAGATTTGCAGTGAATCACTACGTACAAAATATTATAACAGGAACAGACCAAGGGGCCCATCGAAAACTTTTCAGAAAAAGCTACATTTTAACATTCCACTATGGGGAGTGGTTCACCAAAATAGGTCATAAGAAGTCAATTCCTGGCATTTTCTGACTGTAATAATTGAAAAAGAGTGCGCCTTTGGGTTGGATGATACGACCTTTAGATCAATACCGACAAAAAATACCAGATTTATAATTGCCATTATCTGGGTAACAATTTGACGAGACAGCAGTATGACCAAAACCAGATGTTTTTCTAACATTTGTCACGTTTGTTTGTACCATAAAACTCCTTGTCGGCACAAACTTCAAAAATTTTATTTCTCAAGTCTAGTCGGCTGGTTGTGTTGGTTGTTCAGTTTTATTATATTTTTCACTGTTCCGATTCGTAGTCGAATTTGGTTCTGTCTATCATTCCGTGGCTCTTTGTCATTACTAATTTTAAAATTTAATTTCGAATAACATTGAGGTAAGTCTGAATTAAAAATAACTTTGAAGTCGTATCAATTTTACAATATTCCAAAAATCCTTTCTCGATGGGTGCTTATGACACAAAAGGAACCTACTGTCCAAATTTCATGTTTGTAGTTGCAATAGTTCAGGCTTTGCGTTGATGAATTAGTTAGTCTATTAGTCAGGACAAACACTTTTATATATGTATTTGATTGATACATTAATGATTTTTATGTATATTTGTTAATTAAAGGTATCTCTCTACAAAAATATGTGATTACAAAATTTTGTTTGGTTTTTTTTACAAACAATTTTTAAAGGGCGTTGAACAGTAAGTTGCATCGGGGCGCCTGGTCCCTTAGAGCCGCCCCTGGTCGGATTCAAAGCCCAGACAGACAGACGGAAACTGGAGACTACTTTTTTGGACTGTAGGGGTCATGAAACGTCGAAAAAACATCAAAGTGGTCATTCGTCCGATGGACTCGATTACTATACTTTCGCTTACGAACGGGAAATAAAAAACTAAAAAAAGACTTAAAAAACAAACGGTAGCCAATAAAAAATAAACTCTGTTATTTTAGGAAGAGTTAACCTGAAAAATACAGCTCAGAATATTTTATTGAAATTAAAGCGAAGTTGAAAAATTAATTAATTTTTCTTGGAAATAAAATACATTTCATAAAGGTGTTAAATCGCTGAAAAACATTGTACATTCTATTTGAATGAAATAAAATAGTTCATGTTCATAGTTCATCAAAAAAAAAAAAAAAATGCCAACACTGTATTTTATCAACAACCTTCTATATATTGGTATCACCTAATCATTCCAAATTTCAGATTTCAATCTTTTCAAGTGTCTGAGATATTAAATAGAAATTCTTAGATACATAAGTGCACCGTAGTACTACATTTTTTTTTTTAAGTATTAGAGCAAATATTATATACAAAGTGCTACCTACGTCACTAAAAAAATAAAAATATATTGTAGTTAAGACAGTTAAAAAATGTAGTTCCTTCTACCTGAAAATAAAAATGTTCGGAAAAACCTAGGGCCCAAATTCAAGTTGACACAACGTCGCTGTAAGCTGGTAACCACATAGCAACACCATTCTTATTATTATTTATAAATAACTAACTTTCGGAAATTTATAGCAGCTTTTTTAAAATGACATTAGGTGATAAACTAAACACACTTTTTAGGGTTCCATTTCAAAAAATTACGCCGACTTTGAACATGACATGTTGCAATTAATTCCGATTATTAAAACTTCCAATTCATCGCTCTACTAGTTTTAAAGATTACTTATTAATGAAACTGACATAGACAAATATCCAGACAAACAAACGGAAACCGAGATTTTCTTGTTCTCTACAAGGTATGAAATGTCATGAAATCATAAAATTAAACATTTCTTGATATGATTTTATCATAGACTAAAAAAAAATTATTGGTCAGTGCAATTTCTGTAGCAATTGTAGTTCAAGGACCAGACTTAGGTTTTAGATGTTTTTCTTTGAAAATAGATAACTTATTATACACCCCAGATGTTAAATTGCATATATCAAATCCACCTAATTAAATTTATCACTAAAGATTTTATTGCTATTTCAGTAAAGGAATATGACATTTGTAAATGATGAAATGACGTCATACTGAAGTAGACTTTAATTCTTATGCCGCCTTGTCGAAATAAAATTATAATAAACTCACGTATAATAAATATTACCGCAGAAACAAGCGGCAAATATGGACGTTTTTAAATTTACAATCACACAGTTTCATCTCGATTCACGAATAAAAATATACTGACAGTATTAAAAAATTTCAAACCCTATGCAGTCAAATTATTTTGTTTTATAATCTAATAATCAAAAACAAATCGTTTAAAAATAAACTAAATACTTCATATTTAAACAGCTCGGTTGACTGCAGGACATTTTAAACATATTGCCAACGTAACAAAAACAATTCTTAAACATTGATAATCAGTCGGTGTTTATCAATTAAATCTAAACCAATATTTTTTCGAAATTATGTTTTACTTACCGTGGTTGCGAAAATGTCGAAGGTAAAAAACACAGTGGCCGTAGCGTCAAATATTGACACACAAATGGTCAATATCAACCATGGCAAATAAAAACACAAAGACAGAGACTCCTTTATGCCGAAACACGTGCCCACTAAAAATAAATAAAAATTACTCTATTATTATTCAACAATAAAGAAAATAATTTACTTAAAAGCGAAACTGCAGACACGATCCAGGCACCATCCAGGATAATAAAACACAACAAGAATACGGTGGTCCGTGAAGAATACTGTGCACTAGTTGGGAAAACGTCAAGATTTTTCAGCAATGCTTCCACTACCTCTTCAAGAGTAGTTGAAACTTCGCTCTCAAAGTAAAATTTATTTACAAATTTAAACAGGTAACCAGCTGATATTGAAGCGTTGCCATTGTCTTTGATTAACTCGGGTTTGGAGCAACCACTATCTAAAAAAAAAAATTGTAGGAATAGTTTATAGATATGTGATACTTACTATATAAATAAGTGAGGTAAAAAAATATGGAGTTTTCGTCTGTAGCGCGTTTCTCACAGATTGCCAGGTAGTAGGAAAAGACGACGAAAACCAAGTGGAAGCTCGTTTGAAGCTGTAAAACTTATTTCTAAAGTAATTACAAAAAAAAGATATTTCAAAAATAGTTGCTTTTCCAACATTTTACGACAATGATATTACAATAATTTGGATTACTAGACAAAATTCTATGATAACTTTTCTTATTTCATTCATTTGGCAAACACTTCACAAACTTGTGATAAAATATATCTGTTCACAGTTTTATATGTAATATAGATGACTCGGTTTAATCAAATGTGTTATCTCACTGTCCAGCAATAATATGATTTGTAATTCTATAACAAATAATACACAAAAAATATGCAAATCAAAAAATATTCTTTGAGATACAGTGTTAAATATCTAATAATATGCCAAAAAGTTAATTACAAACCAAATTACCTTGTTGGATGTTTCTGAAGTGGGTTATCTAACATATTCATTTTTTTTTAATACGATCGAGTTTAATTAGTGTTACATTGTACACATCACAATCAGTAGAGTCTTTAGCTACATTTCCAGTTATATCTCACCTGCTATCTATTATTACCCATAACAATAAGTGCAGATTTATGCGGTTAATATTTAGATACTGCATCACTTCACATTTTATGCAATCGATAAAATTTATTTATGGAGTCTGTAATAATATTAAAACTGTTGTTTCACAAAAGATAAAAACAATAAACAAGATGTTAAATTTATGAAACCTGATATTTGAACGATCCATAGTCTAGAAAAACAAAAACTGTGGAAAGTCAATTTTATCAGATGGATTTAATATCTGATGATAAAAATTTTACCTTGCAGTGTATAAGCATATTGCATTTTGATAGAAGCGATAATGCACAAAATATTTTATCACAATTAATTTTAACTTAACAACAAACAGTTATATAATCCTGTAGATATCTGTAATAGGCAGGAAAAAATATTCCACACATTTGGACAAACATACGTATCTACCAAATCTCTGCACAGTTATCAGAATAATACCACAAATCGAAACTCTAGCTACACAAAAGTGTCAATTTAATATAAACTTTTAATAATAAATAAATAAAATCAGCTATTTTAGAACCACCCCGTATACAACACTTTCTACTTACAACAGTCCAAAACACACCCACTAAACAGATAATGAAATATTTGCGTGACATCTTGAAAAATAACCACCACTGAATCACATCAGTAAAAGTTGCCAAAATGGAACCAAAACAAGAAAATGGCCTGTCAAAATCATGGGTCAGAGGGTCGGTTTACAGTTATGCGAACTAAAGCGATTGTTCCAACCACTGTGTGTGACATGAATATGAGTTGTGTCGATAAGATAATACGACAAAAACCAATACCTTTTTTGATGAGTTAAGATAAAAATTGTTGTTTCAGTTTTGGATAAGCGATCAAGTCAAATATCTTAATGAATTTATTGAGCGATACACGTGTTCAAAAATAATTGAGAGTTTAACTAAGGAAATGGTTGTGATAGGGTCATTTTGGCAAAGACTAGTTTTTATTTTTTGGTGTTTGGGAAGTTGTAGAATTCGAAGATGCAGATTTCTGATTTCGTTTGACCTGTATCATTGATAATCTCCGGAACTATTGAATCCACTAATTTGGAATTTGGAGCGTACTTTGGTAACAATGTATCATATTGTTCACTGACTTTATTAAGCAAAACTTCCTGAAATAAATATTAGGGACTAAGCATGTTTGGTGCAAACGACGTTTTAATTATTTTTACGTAGTTATTGTGACAGGATTTAACCGCAACTTCAATTTTCAACTATTTGAGCATACAATTAACACAAAGGATGGAGCAAGTTCGTGTTTATGCATTTCTTGCAAGAATCGTCGGACAATATTTCCCAAACAAATATTCTGTATTTACGAATTAATTTAAATAGAACTTGTGGGTCATGGTAAAGATTTCCATCATGGTTGTTTACCATTATTAAGGCTCGGTAAACTTGTTTTCAATAATTAGTTAAACGTAAATCCTAAAGTGACTCACTCATGATAATAATAATGTTGAAATGTGTATTACTGCTATCGTACTTCCTTGATAACTGCATTGTCTTGTTAGACGTTAATATTAAACATAAATACAAATTGGTAAAATAACAAGCATTGCGTAACGCAGAAAATAATAATTAACAATTTTTGAAAAACGAAGTATTTGCTTTTTGGTTTTTTAACTTTGCGGAAATTTCTGAAACTGATCAAGTCAAAATTTATAAAGCTTTAGGGCCGGTTGCATAAACGCAAATCAAATTTAATCTCTGATTAAGAACAATTGTAACTATGATAATAACAATCGTTACTATGGAGTTAATCAGAGATTAACTTTGATTTGCTTATGCAACCGGCCCTTATTGTATAAAAATTATAACTTTTCAGATATAAATATTTCATTTTAAAGCATCAAAATGTTTTTAAATCCACAGCTACCTTTACATACTAATTTAAAATAATCTGAGATTTTAACGGAATAAGTGATGTTCAAAGTTTTTAATAAATCTGCTACGAAAATATAAATACTTTCTGAATTTCCACCAAATTCATTGTACTAACTATATTTAAAGCTAATAATTTGTTCTTATCTTTATTGTTTCTGAAAGATAAGACACTTTTTGATACAAAAGTCTAACACCTGTGGCCTGGTTTTTACAATGACCCCAACTTTATAATATTAATATTAATAATAATAATAATAATAATCAATGCATATCATTACTTGGTCTTAGTACCCGTAATGATAGAAGTCTTGCCTGAATGCCGGTTATTTCCGGGTCAGTGGTGGGTCTTAATAATAGTATATTATTCTAGCAGACAATAGTCTATAGTGGATTACTTTCCAACACACAGTTTCACAAATTTTAAATATATAAATATATAAGACTGCAAATATTTTAAATCTAACATTAGATTTCTAATTATGGGAAAAATTTTAAAGCCTGTCCTACATATACAAATTTTTAAAATAGGCTAGTTGTTTTTGTAACACTTTTTGTGATCCTTTTTGTCGCCCCTTTTTGTGGACTTTTTTCATTATTTTTTTATGGTTTTATTTGTTGCCTTCTATATTATCGAATTTTTCTGCCCTTCTTTTTTTACACATTTTTAAATCCTTTTTTCCTCTTTTTAGCGCCTTTATTTTTATAGCGTGTTTTCTGTTGAATCGTTTTGTCGTCTGTTTCTGTCGCCATTTTAGTGATTTTTTTTTGTTCCTTTTATTATCCCTTTTTGATATTCGTCTGTTTCGTCTTGTCGTTTTGTTTTATTGTCCCGTTTGTTGTTGTCCTCTTAGTAGTTGTCTTCTTTTTTGTGATTTTCCTTTGTAACCCCACTTTATCACTTCTTGAGTTACTTTTTTGTTTTTTTTTCTTTTTTGTGGCGTGTTTTTTATCGCCTTTGTTCTCTTTCTTATTGACTACATTTTTGTTTCGTCCCTTTTCTTCGAAATTCTTCTTTGTCTTTTATCGCCTTTTTTTATCACCATTGTTTTTATGGCAGTCTCTTTTATAGTCCATTTTTGTCACTCCTTTTTGTGGTCCTTTTTTGTGGTTTTTTTATACTCTTTTTGACGTTTTTTAATGGTGATTTTTAACGTCGTTTTCACACTTTTTGTAATTTTCTTTTAATGACTTTTTTCCCATTTTTTGCCGTTTTTTATCTCCTTTTTAGCCTCTTTGTTATTGTTCTCTTTGTTTTTGCTCTTTCTATCGGTTTTTTGTTTCTTCTTTAACATTTTTTTGGTAGTCTTTTGTTCGCCTTTTTGGTGTCTTCATTTTTATGGGTTTTTTGTCGCCCTCTTTTTATCATTTTTTTGTCGTTTGTTTTTTTGTTGTCAATTTTTTTTTTATGCTAAGAATATCGTGTAGAAGATAAAACGCCAACCAAAAATTGTAACACTTTTTGTGATCCTTTATATCGCCCCTTTCTATCGTCTCTTTGTGACATTCTTTTTTGTCATTTTTTGATTTTTTTTTGTAGCACTTTTTTCATTGCATTTTGGGATATTTGATCCTTTGCTTGGCTGGATAGAATGCTACTTAACAAATCGTAAGTCGCACGTTGAATTTAATGGCATATTATCTAAATCAATTGATGCTTGTTCTGGTGTTCCGCAAGGTTCCCACTTGGGACCTATTCTGTTCTTATTATATGTCAACGATGTAAAATATGTATTTCAAAACAGTCTTTTCCTATTATACGCTGATGACTTGAAATTGTTTCGAGCTATCAATTCTCCCTTTGATTGTATTTTACTTCAAAATGACCTAGATAAGTTTAAAATGTGGTGTTCAGATAATAGTCTTAAGCTTAACGTACACAAATGTAAATCTATGAGATTCTCTAAAAAAATTGTTAAAGTACCTGAATTCAACTATAATATTTCGGATGTAGTTGTAGAACAAGTAGCATATTTTTGTGACTTGGGTGCAGTGGCGGCTCGTCAGATGAGGCAAGTGAGGCGGCGCCTCACAGCATATATCTTAAGAACAGGTTGACTTAATTTATAATTAAAAAAGAGTTTTCAATGCATTTTTAGTTACAAAAATATGTTGAAATGGGAGATCTGTACATGATTTTTTATTTTTTACGCTTCCTGCTGACATTTTTCGTTGAATACCGTACGATTTATGCCCCTAGTTCTTTAACTGAAGCGGCCAGAACGTCGGTTCACTTGAACCAACGAAGTCCAATCACAGACACGGAATTCCATGGCTTAGCTCCTATACTCCTATACATGCGTTCGCTCGGAACTGAGGCGATATCTTCGGTGCTTCTCGGCCAATTTCGGCGTACTCATGAAACCATTTTTCCATTTATTTTACAGAACGGTAGGGTTGCGGGGTGCGTGGGTAATTAGCATGGACGTGAATAAAAACCCACGTGTTGGTGTTTTCTGTTATTGTCTCTTTCATAGGTACAGGTGAGTGAAAAATGAATCCCGAGTACGATATCGTCATGTTGTTTCTTGAAACGCCGTTTTCACGGCGAACCGAGCTAGAACGTCGGCAAATTTTGCTAAATATCGAGCAGTCAAAACCGTAAATTCATTTAAATTCCATTGATAAGCGACAGAATCGTCAGTACTCCAAGTTTTTTAAATCAACTTGGTACCTACGAAACATATAAATGGCTCTGCCGTAATATTTACACAACATCCCGGGATATAACGATTTAAAGAATTTCATCCGAAGTGCAAAATTACATGAAAGTTCCAAAGTACACATTAAAAATTTCATGGGCTTAAAACGTTTAGAAAAGAACACAACAACTATTCCCGAATCCCTCCAAGAAAGTGCTACTTTCAACAAAATTTTGACTTGTAAAAACATTGTTGATTCAATGTGTTATGGGTGTCATTATTATTATTATTATTGGGACCTACCACTGACCCGGGAATGACCGGTATTGTGGCAAGACTTCTATTATTACTAGCTAGTAAGACCAAGTAATATTACTATTATTGTCAAACTTCTATCATCGCCTCACCACATCAGACAGTCACGAGCCGCCACTGCTTGGGTGTAATGTTAGATCCAAAATTAGCCTTTACTCTACATGTTGATAAAATTGTCAATAAAATTAATAAAACCTTGGGATTTGTTCTAAGACAATGTCAGGAGTTTACTAGCCTTCGTGTCTTTTGCATTTTATATAATTCATATGTTCGCTCATTATTAGAGTACTGCTGTATAATTTGGTCACCTTACTATCAGCTCTATATATCTAGACTTGAAAAAATTCAAAGAAAGTTCATTAAATTTTTATGTTTTAAACTAAATGTTATATTTGATAGGAATAATTACGAACTCATAGTTAAATATTTCGGGCTTAGTTTATTAATAAGTCGTCGCCATTACTTTGATTTGTGCTTTGTTTTTAATGTGTTAAATAACCGTGTAAATTGTTCCGACATTCTTAATCTGTTTTCTTTACATGTACCTAATCGCGCCACAAGAGGTTCTCATTTGCTCCAAGTCCCTTTCCATCGCACACTATATGCTCAAAAATCTCCGTTATGCCGCATGGCTAAACTGGCGATGGAGTATAATGATCTGAACTTTTGTGGTGTGTCAATTAATGTTTTTAAGAGGGAGCTGAAGAATGCTTTAAATATGTAAAGTGTAACTATTGTTATGATTTGTAATGGTATATTCCGTAAATAAACTATTATTATTATTATTATTATTGCTTTTTTTTGTTTTATTTGTTGCTTCCTTTATCATCGAATTTTTGTCATTCATCTTATTATCCATGTTTGATGTTCGTCTTTTTCGTCGTTTTTTTTTATGTTATTGTCCCGTATATTGTTGCCTTCTTTGTTATTGCCTTCTTTTCTCTGCGCATTTTTTGTCTTTTTTGTATGTTTTTTTAACCTTCATTTTTATCTTGTCTTTTTTCGCCCCTATTTTTGTGGTTTCTTTTTTGTCGATCTTACTTTGTCACACTTTTACGTTGTTTTCCTTCTTTTTTGTTTTTTAATCTCCTTTTTTCCCCACGGGAACTACAAACGGGTTATAACAAAGCCCTCTTTGTTTTCGCCCCTTTTCTACCGTTTTTCTGTTTTTTTTTTCGCGTTGTTTTGTCTTTTTTACCCATTTTTTATTGACGGTTTTTTGTGATATCTTCTTTGTAACCCCTTTTTATCACCCTTTCTTGAGTTCGTTTTTTTGTCTTTTGTAGACTTTTTATCGCCTTTTTTATGGTTCTCTCTCTTGTAGACTACACTTTTGTTTCGTCCGTTTTCTTCGGATTTCTTCTTTGTCTTCTTGTCGTCTTTTTTTATCACCTTTACTTTTAAGGGAGTTTCTTTGTTGCCTCTTTTTTTGTCGTCCGTTTTTGTGGTCATTTTTTGTCGTTTTTTATCGTCCATTTTTAACCTTTTTTTTTTGTGGTTTTTCGCTGTCTTTTTGCCACTTTTTGCAATTTTCTTTTAAAGACCTTTTTTCTTTTTTCTGCCATTTTTTGTCTCCATTTTATCCTCTTTGTTATTGTTCTCTTTGTTTTTACCCTTTTTCTATCGCTTTTTGTTTCTTTTTTCGCATTTTATGGTGGTCTTTTGTTCGCCTTTTTGGTGTCTTCGCTTTTATGGCTTTTTTTTGCCGTCCCCTTTTTGTCATTTTTTTGTTGTTTGTTTTTTTTTTGGATTTTTCGCATTTGTTGAATTTTTTGTGCATTTTTCTTGTCCAAAATCAAATTCTATAATTTACCAGAGAAACTGTAGATTTGTTTGATTATACTTCAGGAGCAAGGAAAGTTCTGTTGAGAACTTTGGACCACTTTTACTTACTGAGCGTAAGCTAAAATGTAAGCATGTATTACGGTCCATCCGATGGATCTTTGCTTTCAGATTTCCTCGACATTTTAAGACACCTAGACTACGAAAAAGTAGGTTCCTTGTTTCCGTCCGTCTGTCTGTCTGGCTGTCTGTCATTTGTGTCAATTTTTATTAGACAGATATTCTCTGAAACTAATAGATCGATTGTTGTCAAATTTTTTTTGTATGCTAAGAATATCGTGTAGAAGATAAAACGCCAACCAAAAATTGTAACACTTTTTGTGATCCTTTATATCGCCCCTTTCTATCGTCTCTTTGTGACGTTCTTTTTTTATCGTTTTTTCTGTTTTTTTTTTCGCATTGTTTTGTCTTTTTCCCCCTTTTTTTATTGTCAGTTTTTTGTGATGTTTTCTTTGTAGGCCCTTTTTATCACGCCTTCTTGAGTTTGTTTTTTTGTCTTTTGTAGACTTTATATCGCCTTTTTTTATGGTTCTCTTTCTTGTGGACTACACTTTTGTTTCGTCCCTTTTCTTCGGATTTCTTCTTTGTCTTCTTTTCGCCTTTTTTTATCACAATTACTTTGATGGCAGTTTCTTTGTTACCCCTTTTTTTGTCCTCTGCTTTTGTGGTCCTTTTTTTCTCATTTTTATTATCCCTTTTTTGATGTTTTTTTTTGAGTGGTTTTTCGCCACCTTTCTGCCACTTTTTGTAATTTTGTTTTAAAGACCTTTTTTCTTTTTTCTGCTGTTTTTTGTCTCCATTTTATTCTCTTTGTTATTGTTTTCTTTGTTTTTACCCTTTTTCTGTCCCTTTTTGTTTCTTTTTTCGCATTTTTTTGGTGGTCTTTTGTTCGCCTTTTTGGTGTCTTCATTTTTATGGCTTTTTTGCCGCCCCCTTTTTGTCATTTTTTTGTCGTTTGTTTTCTTGGCTTTTTCGCATTTGTTAAATTTTTTGCGCATTTTTCTTGTCCAAAATCAAATTTTATAATTTACCAGAAAAGTTGGATGTTTGATTGTACTTCAGGGACGAGGAAAGTTCTATTGACAACTTTGGACCACTTTAGTTTCCTGAGCGTAAGCTAAAGAAGTATTGTAGGTATTAGGGTCCATCCGACGAATCGCTGTTTTCAGATTTTCTTGACTCCTAAAATACGAAAAAGTAGGTTTCTCAGTTCCATCTAGCCGTCGTCTGTCTGTCTATCGTCTGCGTCAATTTTTATAAGACAGATAATCTCCGAAACTACTGGATCAATTGTTGTCAAATGTTATAGGTATGCTCGTGTAGAAGGTAAAACGCTAACCAAAAATTATCTAATCATCCCCCCCAACAATGGGATGACGTCATCTCTATTTTTTTTTTAATCAGTGCACTGCATACTTTTTGTTTTAATCTAAATGAATACGTGAGAAAAAAACTGAAAACTGGCAAAACCCTTAAATCCACATTTCAGCAGAAGACGCTAGAATTTAAAATTTCTTAAACTATGAGATTTGGTTTTTTCCGCAAATTTATTCTTAAAAAAACTTAATTTTACTATAATTTACATATTTGTTTTTGTGTGTTTTAAAGTGTTTTGCCAACTACACAACAATTAAATTACGTTGTTTATCTTCCATTCAGATTTTTTAGCAAAAATGATTGTCAAATCGAAACCAGAATATACAACCGAGGTAATTTTTATGGTCGTGTTAAAAAAAGTGTGGGTACGAGTGTTCTAAATTTAGCTGTACTTACAAAATGAAAACTGCGATTTAAAATTGTCTGCGATTCTTAAACGGTTTTTTTTTCAAAATTATTTACAGCTATTTGTCGCATGGTGAATCGGTGACTGTCATTATGACGTCACAGGTATATCTCGTGCCAGCTTGAGACTGCTGGAAAGCGGCGGCCTTCATTACCATTACCGATCTTTGATGGTTTTCCAAGTTTTTTATTATAGTTAATTGTGCCTTGTTTTATCATTTTTGGACGACGAAGTGCATTTTAGTCGTTATTCTGCCTTGAACCTCAACCAAGATTTTGACTAGTTTTTGCCTTCACATTGTTCGCTGTCAATAAAATTAACTGTTAATGAGATAAAACAATAACCAGAATTTAGATAAGTGTTAATCTGTAAAGCAATATTGAGCTTATAACATTTAAGTGAGCAAAATTATAAGCATAAACGGATTTACAACAAAAATTCTAATAAAAAAAAAATTAAGTCAATCGCAAAACTTGCATCATACAACTCTATTAACACCACTGACAGAAAAATCCACCATTTTCTAGAATTATTTCAACCTTTTCCTTATTTATTGAAACACTTATCATCTCATTGAAGTCCTCGTAAATGTACTAATTTAATACATTTAAAATACATACATCAGTCACAAAAAACGTGCCAGGGCAATAAATTTTTCAAATACAACGCAGAAAATGACAAAGTTTCGTTACAAAAAAGTGTCAAAATTGTCACTACTAAAGACAAAACATTAATTATCCGTTCGTTTGCAATGACTAACAAAAACAATAAATCGCGTAATTTTACAACTAAAACGTTCGCAGTCTCGTTAAATTCACCTCAAATTATTTGTATTATTAATTAGTCTAAACACCTTAGTAATAATAATACAATGATACATCACACGTGCAAACAAACGTCACATTGCCGCTAATTAAATTAGTTCCTGCTTATAAGAGCCTCAATAACACGATAATCTCCAGTACAATCCTGCGGTTTACTCAAAAATCATCCGAAATGTCTCCATCATCAAAAATTTTTCTACTCGCTGCACTTTTCAGCGTGATTTATCTAACAACAGTGACTTGCCAATCGACTGAAAATACAGACAAAGCTGTTAGCGAAGAAAGTACTACTGAAAATGTGAACGACACGGTCCCACAAGATCTGTAAGTTGTTCACAACTCAATAAAATAAAAAAAAAATTATTGCTCGATCTGCAGGTACGTGATCAAAACGATTGTCTACGAAGTTGGGATTTTAACGGATGCAACGAACGACACTGACAACAACACCGAAACGTAACTATATTTTCCTCCATAAACTCCTATTTCCGAATTTATCCTTGTATATACAACTATTAACACTTTATAGTCAATTTTCGTAGACGATAACACCATTTCCAAAGTCAAAGTCAAAATAAATCAACCAATCCCGGTTCTACCTTGTCTTTTCCTTTTGCAGACACGAACAAGTCGATGTGTCCTTCTACGATCCTTCAACAAATGGTAGCGTTATTGACCTTTCCAAAATACCCGTGCCCATTCAGACCAATGTCAGTGGTGTCACCATCACAGGACTGCTTCCTGGTGCCGATTTGGCGTCCATTCTTCTACCTCCTGGAGACAAACCTGTTGCAGTTTTGCCCAAAAAACAAATAACTGTGACGCAAAATGTTAGCACAACTGATCCAGACAGAGGCTCGGAAATTATCACGAATTTGCCAAAAATTTTGGGCTTGACGAAAAAGAATAGCTCGGAGACGAGCGAAAGCACGAAGAAAGAGGAGAAGGAAAAGGAAGAGAACAAGGAAAAGGAATACTTTTATCTGGAAAAGTAAAAACTGCTATTACTGATGCACCTCTCTCTATTTCCATATTTATTCTTTTCTATTATAATTGAGCGGTATTTATTTACGAAGTGTTGTAATGTCTAGTACAGTAATAAAAGAACCTACATGAAGTTGTTTTTTAAATCAATTACCAATTCACGTAAATATGAGTCAAATATATTCGATTATCTGTTAATCAGTTGAGAAAATTTAAGTTCAGGTGGAACAAACAATAAGTAGTTACACCTGACGTTGACTGTATGCCAGAAGTGTAGTATCTACAACATCTACAACTGAGTCATACTTTTTATCTTTAGCTGTACATAATAGGAATGTTGATTCGAATGCTTAGAAGACACTTGTGCTTTGATTTTGAATTTTTTCTTTATCTAACTTATAGTAAGTGGGTTGTAAGATGTACAAAAGATAATACGTAGGTGTCTACTAGAAATAAAAATCAAGTGACGTAAATGGAACGATTAAGATAAGAAAATAACATCCGCTTTATGTTATTGCATAAAATTCCGTCGAAAAGCTTACTTGGAATTTCTTGGAACTTTTTAAGTCCTGTTTGTAAATAAAATATGTATTTCACAGGAAGTTATTGACAAACTACACAACTAACCACAACTAATTAACGGTCGTATTCAGGGTGCTTAAACCTTATGGAATAGTTCAAATATTTTGTATTTTTCGTTTACGTCAGTCTGAATCGTCAGTTTCGTTGATAATAATCAAGTTGTTTTTGTTTGAGAGTGATTGTCACGTAATAAACTTTGTTTTTTCTTTACTTTATTTTGTCCTCATCCAAAAACTTTAGATGCAATTGTTATAAACAATAGAGTGCTTTAGATGAACATTCACAGGGTTGACATTTAAAAATTGTCTTAGAACCATGACCAGTTAAAAATCTTAACATTATCTTTTTTTCTTTCCTTGGCAGCCTACGTTCTATTAATTCCCATTGCCATTCTACAAAAGAATATATAATTAATTAACCCCGCCCACCCACCCCGCCTTGATTTCAGTGATTCATTTTATCTAGCCCGAATGAAAGATGAATCTCATACTCAACAGAAATTAAATCATTTGAATGAGAACAGCACGGGTGGGCGGAGCTAGTACTTGCTAAGATAAGACTGACTGGCAAATTACATTCACTCTAAGAAAACAGAGGGTGGGTGGGTGGGGCTAGTAATTGTTAAGATATGGCTGATTTTAGTAAATGGCTGAACAATATATACAGTAATCACTGGAATGAAGAGGGGGTTGTTGAGCCGAGCCATTACTTGCTTATAAAAGATTATGTAATAACAAGTTAAACTTAGCCCCACCCACCCACCCGAGTTCTCATTTTTCGTCTTCTAAAATAAAAAATTAATCTTATAACAAATAGCATAACAAAAAAAATTACGATTAACGCTTTTGTTTTCTTTTCTTGGCAGCCTACGTTCTATTAATTCCCATTGCCATTCTACAAAAGAACATATAATTAATTAACCCCACCCACCCACCCCGCCTTCATTTCAAAGATTCATTTTATCTAGCCAGAATGAAAGATGAATCTCATACTCAACAGAAATAAAATCATTTGAATGACAACAGCGCGGGTGGGCGGAGCTAGTATTTGCTAAGATAAGACTGACTGGCAAATTACATACACTGTAAGAAAACAGAGGGTGGGTGGGCGGGGCTAGTATTTCTTAAGATAAGACTGATTTTGGTAAATGGCTGAACAATATTAAGAGTAATGACTGGAATGAAGAGGGGGTGGATGGGCGGAGCTATCGCTTGTTTATAAACGATTCTGTAAGAAAAAGTTAAACTTTGCCCCACCCACCCACCCGTTTTCTCATTTTTTGTCTTCGAAATCAAAAAATAAATCTTATAGAAAATAGCATAACAGAAAAAATTACCAAGTAGCGCTTTTTTTCTTTTCTTGGCAGAGTAAGTTCTATTAATTCCTATTGCCATTCAACAAAATAACATATAATTAATTAACCCCGCCCACCCACCCCACCTTCATTTCAAAGATTCATTTTATCTTGCCAGAATGAAAGATGAATCTCATACTCAACCAGGGGCGGCTCATGACTTGAAAAATTGATGAGGCAAAGCACAAAACGCTCTAAAATATAAATAAATCAAGATTACTTAAATATTTTCTATTTAGTCAAATAAACAAATTTGTAAACTCATTTAACTGTCCACAAAGAACCAACGTGAAGGTGTAAGGAGGTCTTGCAAGGAAAGGATGAGAATGACAGGACAAAAGGAAAGGGAAGCGTGGTCAGAAAAAACTAATATAACTTCTAACAAAAAACAAAATTAAAATAAACTATAAAGAAAACATATCGAAAAAGATCAAATACAACATAAAATAAAGCTAATTTGATTTATAACAAAAAACAAAATGAAAAAAATATAAAATATAAATACGGATTTATTTTAAATTTTTTTTATGGATCAATTAACGATTTACTCAAATCAGGAACCGGCGGTTTTAATTCCTTAACTACATACAATTTATCATCATACGTGAAAGTAGAAAAAACAGAACTGCCATTGTCATTTAACGTTAGTAGAGAAAAATTCCGATTTACTCGTAATCTTAAATAACGATTACCGAAATCAAATTATGACAAGCACAAAGCACCAACGCGACCCACGCAAACGTAGGCACTTTTAAGACAAAATTCTGTTACCGAAATTTTGAATAAATTTATACACACACAGATTTGTGGCAAAACAATCAACGGCCTAATTTTGAATACTCCTGCGAATGCAGACTGCATTGTAATCGCACGTTCCACGCGCGCAAATATTATAGTTGTCCATCTCTTTTGCAAGCACGGAAATGAGGCTAGCCTCAATTTTGTCTTTTTTCAACTCATACCGCTTATGAGTGTATTGCAGGTTGCTTGCCTATTAACGACATGATTTCTATATATGCTGTAGAGGCAAGCTTCGAGTCGGCCTCATTCGCGTCAAAAAATACATGTTGTGCCGAGTGTTTAAGCGCGCTGTTTAATTAAGGGAGCAACGAATACCTACCGAGATAAAAATAAGAATATAATTTTCTATATTTATTTTTAAAATTTTAGAAAAAAGACACAAATTATTGGCCGAAATGTGTCCGTATAAAATAATAAAAATCCTAATAAGGCGTAAAATTCATTGGTGAGGCACTGCCTCACCTGCCTCATAGGACAAGCCGCCCCTGTACTCAACAGAAATAAAATCATTTGAATGAGAACAACGCGGGTGGGCTGAGTTAGTACTTGCTAAGATAAGACTGCCTGGCAAATTACATACACTGTAAGAAAACAGAGGGCGGGTGGGCGGGGCTAGTATTTAATAAGATAAGACTGATTTTGGTAAATGGCTGAACAATGTTAAGAGTAATCACTGGAATGAAGAGGGGGTTGTTGAGGCGAGCTATCGCATGTTTATAAAAGATTCTGTAAGAAGAAGTTAAACTTAGCCCCACCCACCCACCCGTTTTCTCATTTTTCGTCTTCTAAAATAAAAAATAAATCTTATAACAAATAGCATAACAAAAAAAAAATACGATTAGCGGTTTTTTTTCTTTTCTTGGTAGCCTACGTTCTATTAATTCCCATTGCCATTCTACGAAATAACATATAATGAATTAACCCCGCCCACCCACTCCGCCTTCATTTCAGTGATTCATTTTATCTAGCCAAAATGAAAGATGAATCTCACACTCAACAGAAATAAAATCGTGTGAATGAGAACAGAAGAGGTGGACGGAGCTAGTACTTGCTAAGATAAGACGGACTGCGGCAAATTACATATACTCTAAATAAACAGAGGGCGGGTGGGCGGGGCTAGTATTTATTAAGATAAGACTAATTTTGGTAAATGGCTGAACAATATTAAGAGTAATCACTGGAATGAAGAGGGGGTGGATGGGCGGAGCTATCGCTTGTTTATAAAAGATTCTGTAAGAAGAAGTTAAACTTAGCTGCACCTACCCACCCGTTTTCTCATTTTTTGTCTTCGAAAATAAAAAATAAATCTTATAGCAAATAGCATAACAAAAAAAAAATACGATTAGCGGTTTTTTTACTTCCCGAGCGTTAGCAAAGGAAGTATTGTAATCGAGTCCGTCGGCCGACTCTCTACTTTTACGTTTTCTCGATCTTTCATGACCCCTAGAAAACGAAGAAATAGGTCTCCCATTTCCGTCTGTCTGTCCGTCTGTCCGTCTGTCCGTCTGTCCGTCCGTCTGTCCGTCCGTCTGTCCGTCCGTCTGTCCGTCTGTCCGTCTGCCGTCCCGGATTTTTATTAGACAGATAATCTCCGAAAGTACTCGACCGATTGTTGTGAAATTTTGTACTTATATTACGAATATCATGTAGATGGTAAAACGCTAACCAAAATTTGTCTAATCATCCCCAACACTAATGCGATGACGTCACTTCAAAATTGTACATAGTAAATGGGTTTTCAATTGTATAAAATAACATAGTCCTACACATGTAGTTTACAACTCTGAATCGACTTTTCACCCGAAACGTCCAGATTTTTGGAAAAAAAAATCAAAACTATAAAACAACATTTTGAAATTTAATTTTTAATCTGCTAACCAGAATGCTTTGAAATGTTGCAGATGTTTTAAGGCTATAAAGAACATCATAAATCTTTAGTCAAAAAATATTTGCTTATCCCCTCCAAAAACTTGATGACGTCAGCTCAAAAGTTTGTGGAATAAATCATATCTAAAATGTACAAAATATGATGAGTCTGTACTTGTGATCTATCACTCCATTCATATTTTTTGGATTTGCATATACAGGGTGACTCAAAAAAATTAATGAATGCGTAAATATATTTTATTGATTTAATCAGGAACTACAAAACCGAATGCTCTGAAATCTTGCAGATGTTTTAAGGTCATAAAGAGCATAATAAATGTTTAGTCAAAATATATTTGCTTATCCCCTCCAAAAACTTGATGACGTCAGCTCGAAAGTTTGCCGAATAAATCATATCTAAAATGTACAAAATATGATGAGCCTGTACTTGTGATTTATCATTCCATTCATATTTTTTGGATTTGCATATACAGAGTGACTCAAAAAAATTAATGAATGCGTAAATATAT